TCTCAATGCGGGCAGAGGCAGTCATCGGAGGAGCAGCCGCCCCGTGTAGGGACAGGTATGTCGCTTGGACCAGTTCAGACCAGGATTTATATTGAGTCGGGTCTGGAGCTGTGGGCGTGGCCGTCACAAGACCACAAAAGGTCACGTCTCGGCTCTCTTCTGGTGGAACAGAGACCGTAGCGGGCTTAACTGGCCATTCCCTGTGGGGCTGATACAGGAAACAAGGCCCACAGGTCCAGCGGCTGGGTTTTGCCAAGTCACTAAGATGTTTGCCACGCGTGGCATCATCAGCAGCATTGTCATTGGTTGGAACATAGCGCCAATTGTCCGCACCCACCAGCTCCTGAATTTCAGCAACACGAGTCCCTACAAACACTTTGTACTGCTGTGACTCTGACTGGATCCAATGGAGGACAGTAGTTGAATCTGTCCACAGTGTTGTAGTTTTCAACGGCAGCGTTAGTTCTGTTTGGATGACCTTTGCTAACTGAGCACCAGCCAGAGCGGCGCACAGTTCCAATCGAGGGATGGAGAGCTGCTTCTTTGGGGCTACTCGGGACCTGGCCAGAACAAAGGACACTTGCAATGCACCTGTAAAGTCATGCTCTGCCCTCAAATATGCAACTGCACCATATGCTCTCTCTGAGGCGTCTGTGAAGATGTGCAACTCCAGTGGCGTGTCAGCTGGGACATTTGAGAGGTAACATCGGGGTATTGTCACATGCTGCAGCTGAGGTAGTTCACTCTCCCATGCCTGCCACACCGGAAGGAGCTCATCTGTGATTGGCTCATCCCAGTCTCGGCCTTTCTTCCACAGCGCTTGAACCAGCACCTTAGCACGGGTTGTGTAGGGAATAAGAAAGCCGAGTGGGTCATATTGGCTGGCCAGCACACGGTACACATACCTCAGAGTGGGTTGAGCAAGAGGAATAGCTCTATGTCTGTAACTGAGTGCGTCTGTGCTGCAGTTCCACAGAAGGCCCAGAGTAGACTCGAGAGGGTCTTCTTTATGAGCATTGAGCCATAACTCACAGGTGGCAGACTTTGCTTCAGCTGGCAGATGAGAGACAACATCAGGTACATTGGAGGACCACTGACGCATGTCAAAGCCTCCCTGGGCAAGGAGAGCTCTGAGCCTGTCGATGAGCTGTTTGGCGTGCTCTGGAGAGGGCAATGACTGCAGGCAGTTGTCCACATACATAGATTGCAGCACTATATTAACGATATCCTCATTACCCTCACTGTAGTCCTGGACGTGGCGCTGTAGTGCATATATAGCACAACATGGGCTGCATGTCGTACCAAAGGGTAACACACGCCACTCGTAGACATCAGGACTGCGCTCTCTGTCTCCATCTCTCCACAGGAAACGAAGCAGTGGTTGATCTTGTGGGAGGAGCCTCACTTGATGGAACATGCCTCGAATATCACCGTTGATGGCCACAGTATATTCCCTGAAACGCAGAAGCACTGCAAGGAGTGAAGAACCGAGAGTCGGGCCTGGCATGAGGTTCTTATTAAGGCAGGCCTGTTGATGCACAAAAGAACAGTTAAAAACAACTCTGGATTTATTATTGTGGAAAACGAGGTGGTGTGGCAGGAACCATGACTCGTCTGAGTTGTTTACTTCTTCTGGACTGATTTTCACTGCATAACCTGATCTGACTAGTTTGTCCATTTCTTCATTGTAAATAAGCAATTGTTCAGGATTATGTGTGAGGCGGCGCTCGGTGGCTCTAAGGAGAGGCATGACTGCATTAGGTGAAGCCAATAGGTGAGATGCATTTTTCTTTCGCAGGAGGGGGACTGCATATCGATGTCTGGTAGCCTCTCTGGAGATGCTCAGGGGAACAGGATTGCTCAGCCAGATTCAACTCTAGCTGTAAAACGCGTTGTGTTAACAGTCACCTTTAATTTGACTACTTCCTGGATGAACGGCAGCAGGCAGGATAACAGTGCGCTCTCCGCCTGGGCCACATCATGCAGCACAGGAAGATGTTGTTCATCCGCAGGTAGAACAAGGCTTCTTTAATGTGCAGTTAGCTGGAGAATGTCCTCGGCCACACCTCCAACATTTCTTATTGTCCTTTATCCATGCTGCCCTGGCTGGATTTGAGAGCTTGGTGAAGTCATCACACCCGTTGAGGTAGTGCTCCTGATTGCAGCAGTAGGGACAGTATGGTTTGAATCTATCCCTCTTCTTTGCTTGCTGTGCACTAGGGGAAGCTAGGCGTGTGACTGTGGGCTGAGTTGATTCATTACTGCCAAACAATACAGCTGTAGACTTGGGCTTCTGTGTTTTGACTGCCCTCCTCTCCACACTACTGGTGTCGTATGAATGTGTCCCTATTCTACGGGATACCTGTAGGGTCTGCACTTTCCTCTCTAGCCACTCAGCTAGGTCTGGTAGCGTGTATGTCCTGTCACTGCCACTCTGAATAATACCCCTGCTGAAACAGTACTCAGCAAAGGAATCTCTTAAGTACGGGGGTAGTTTTGTGAGCAGTGTGTCAACATGGGAACCACATTGCAACTCAGATGATGATGGGCCCTGCATAGAACTTAACATGCCTACCAGTGTGCTAACAGCTGCAGAAAAATCCTCCATGCCCTGGTAATCACCTGCTTTAACTGGGGGTGCGGTCAGGATGGATTTGAGCTCTGCCTGCACTAGCTGTCTAGGCTGACCATAACGCTGCTGAAGAGCTAACATAGCACTAGAGTAAGGAGTGGAGCTGTTTATGTATCTCTTTGCTATCTGCAAAGCGGCAGGGAATTTCAAATGATCCAAGAGGACTTGGTATTTGTAATCCTCAGTTAGATGGCTGTGGGGGCTGAGCACACTGTCTAAACCTTTTTTGAGTAACAGAAAATCACTCTCCTTCCCTGAACTGAATGCAGAAAGCTTAGGCTTGGGGATGCCGTATGAGGAGGCAATAGCCATTTCCACCATGCTAGGGACATTAGCACTGACGGGGGGAGGAGCTAAATATGGCTGGCTGACAGGTGCTGTAGGCATACGAGTACTGTTTGGAGTATATGCATTGGGATACGCATACTGCTGTCTACTATGTGGATAATAGACAGGTGCACTATATGGATGTGAGGGAGCAGGTGCGCTGTAGGGCGTGCCTTGAGGAGCAACTACATGCGGTGCAACTACACTTCTGTGTGAGGTGTCGTACAGAGGGGGCAACAGAGCTGCTTGAGCGGGATCTACTGGAGGAGGAGGCGGTGGCCAGTACTCACCGGTCTCTGCTCCCTGGACTATACCTGCTGTGTAGTTTGGAGGCACTGCTGGTAGTAAAGGAGCTGTCACTGGTGCTGAAACACTAGCTTGCCCTGTCGGGGGAGGATGCTGCACAGGAGCTATGGGTGACAAAGGTACTATGGGAGAAGAATGCCCTGAACGTTCTGATGCATGCCATGACTGAAGAGGCTGGAGCTGTGGCATGCTGCTGTACTGCTGTTCCTGGGCATATCTATGCTTGGCAGGTTGGGCGCTTTGTGTCAGCCGAACGTTGCTCATTTCCGTCTGAAGTTCCCTCATTTGTCGACCGAGTGCCTGATAAGCTGACTCCAAATGCTGCATTCTGTCTTCATCATCATCATGAGAGGATGAAGTTGACCAGCTCTCGGGGCTTTGTGGTGGACGTTGGAATGAAAAGCCAACCTCATAGTCCTCCAGATGTCCGGGAATGCGACGCACTCTGCTGGGACGGGGACTGTGTAGTGGCTGCTCATCATAAAAGTCTCTGGATGCGGCCATGACGCAGCTCTTGGACATCCGGCTCGAAGGACCACTTGTAAAAGATTATATTGTATTTGAATGCTGGGGTCCAAAAGTCCGGCCTAAGTCTTCGGCAAGAAAGACTGCAGCAGACCCAGAGTAGTAGAATGAAAGGTTTATTGCAGCTTGAACAGGTTGGGATGGATGCGTGAAACAAGAGCGTGTGTGTGTGTGTGTGTGTGTGGTTATCTGTGAACACACAAATGTAACATTGGAATTATTATAAAGCCTACAAAGTACACCACAACATGCATATACATTAACAATGTTTATATGAATAAAATTAAACACTATAAACAACGTACAACACAACATCAAATGAATAATTATCATTGTTGCACTTTGAAATGGCTCTGGATACAGTTTTGATGTTATTACAAAGTATGTCCACCAGAGGGCGCTAAAGTGTGCTACATGACGTAAGGCCGCAGTGGACCGCATGGTTAATGGCGATCATGCAGGAAAGTTTCCAAAGAGATGAAAACGAACTACAAACATATGCTGCTAAGTACACAATGCAAGCTAAAGACAGGACTACACAATATAATGGTGTGGACATACTCACATAGTCATTAAACGCACAACAACACGATGTGAGAAAGCTAAGAGAGAGCACGCTCTTCACTCGTTGCCCTCCTACAGCAGACTGCCCACCTGGACTCCTGTGCGCATGTCAGTGAGGGGCGAACTGTTCTTAAAGGTACAGTGTCATTGAAGCAGGGAAATTTGCACAATTTGTATTCAATTTATTTGAGCGATATAAAATAGATCAATCAAGATATAAACAATGCGTATTTTTATATGTACATCTTTGATAACTAGAATGAGAGGAAAGCGATGTTAGGCTTGAAATAATAGGGAAGCTGCTCTTAATATTGGCAAATCTCAATCCAATCATAATAGTTTTCTTTAATTCAATTCAGAAATTCAAATCCCTGCTAAAAACCCACCAAAGGAAATATCATGGCTAACTTGTTGTCTGGTATAGAAAAAAAACACACTTTTTTGAAAACCCACCTGTTCAAAACTGCCTTCACATTACTGTTTAGTTTTTTTTATTCATTATCTTATCAACCTTTCTTTTGTAAAGTGTCTTTGAGTGTCCAATAAAAGCACTATACAAGTACGACGTTCCATGATCATTGTTATTACTATTATCCTTACTATTACTGTTTATGTTATCCCTGTTATCGCACGACGTCCCGTGGCCTCAGTTCTCGGTGTCGGAGCAGTCGGAGACGTCTGTGAGGCGCGCTTGTCTCTTTCTCACGTTCCAATGCAAACACTGAGCCAGACTCTCGAACCAGTCGTAGACCAGGTCGTAGCAGCAGATGGAAGGCACCGGGAAGCAGGACGTGGTGATCTTTATGCTGCACACAGAGGGAGAAAGAGAGGGGCAGATGAGACTGTGTTATTGGGGCAAATAAATGTCAGATCGATGTTGTTGACGTTCTAGAGCAGGCATGTCAAACTCAGGCTCGTGGGCCAAATCCTGCCCGCAAGACCATTTTTAGTGGCCCCTAAAACAGGAAAACAATTACATTTGATTTATTCTAACATTTGAACCCAACACATTATTAGAAGTTGATCCAGTTTTGGTTCAATCTATACAATACAACATATTTTGTTTAAAGAAAAATGTCAAAATACCTTCATAAATGTAAAAAAAAAGTATGAGAAAAGGAAATGCCTTCTATCCTGTCGGGCCCAACCAGTTTTGTCTTTTTATTTGGCCCCTGACCAAAATGAGTTTGACACCCCTGTTCAAGAGTTAGGACTTACTCTTGATTCCTGTGCTGTTTGTATATATTAGTGGACAAAATGTAGGCACATGGGTCATCCACCCCTTATGGACCAATGACTATGTGTTTTAATCATCGCATTTCCTGTGTGTTCAATTTTCTGTTGTTGGCAAATTGACAAAGTCCTCCAAGATAACGACTGTTGTGATTTAGGGTTATACAAAAATACATTGAATTGTTAGGCGAATGCAGAAGAGGCCAACATGAATATCTCCGTGCAATAACAAGTGCAGATGTTTTACTAAGATGGTTGCAAGCTGGACAAAGGGATCTGACTTTAAATCCATACCTAAGTCATGAGGAGAGATTTTTAAAGCACAAAATGAGGGTGAGTGTGACACAAACAGTTACTGAGCTAGAGGAGTTTACTTTTCAATGTCAGTCAATAGGAGTCAGAGCAAAACGTCCATCTATTGGGCTTCATGAAGCTAGCAGGTTAGCATCTGCCATTTATATACAGTCTTATAAGCCACTTTATAAATTTAAGGTCCCCAAACCTCCGTACAGCTCCCAACAGCAGAGATGACCCCGCCTCAGCTCACGCCTGTGTCACACCTGTGTTTGACCATATAAGCACATGACGTGACCTTATCAGTGAGATTTGTGTAAACATCAAACATGCGGCGACAACAAGAGTTTGAGTGACACAAGCAGACTCAGGGGGAGGGGCTCTGGGGGACAGCGCACACTCTGAACAGTCTGCTCCTTGCACTTTGACCCTTTCTATTATGTCTTCTTCTTTGATGCTGAGATGAACCCGTGTGTTTTTTATGCTGCTGCGCCTCCTTTTCTTTTCCCCTCACGGACAAATACAGTTTTTGATCCATCGATTAGGGGAAAGTGAACTATGCCACTGGATGATGTCTGTGATCGGCAACATGGTGTGGAACAAAGGCAGAATTTGTAAAGCTGAGACGTGCATGCTCATGTTCATAAAGTCAGACGGGTCAGTCCTGAACCAGCACATACTGACGTACGAACTGAGACTGTATAAAGATGGGCAATGCTAACCCGCTAGCTCCATGAAGCCCAATAGGGAAGTGCTCGTGGACAAAGTTTTTCTCCAAATCGCTCTAACTCCTACTGACTTGACACTGAGAAGAAAACTCCACTAGCTCAGAAATCGTTTGAGGCACACGCACCATTTTTGGCTTTTTGGAAATCCATGGCTTTACAATCCTGGTGTTTATATCTTGATATTAGCCTTTGTATATCCATAAATGAGCCATATAAGGATACACCAATCAGATGCCTTCATTCACTCCAGCTTGCCTTAGCCACAGTCAGTTGCCCATATAAGGAAATTGGCTCCAGCTAGCTTATGAGCAAAGTGACCCCTAACACTATGGTGATGTTAGCACTCGGTCAGTCCACTTCTAATGTTCTATGGTTCAGCATCAGTGTAGCCAAAATAATGATCACAACTTCTTCAATATAGAAAATACTTATTAAATGGGTAAATATATATTTTTTAAAACTGTCATATGATTATTGCTTTAGTCAATATTGTGATCCTGGCACAGACATGTTTTATATAAACAAAGGAAAGCATATGTGACCATTACCAGTCTCCGTGCTGGATCTCCTGCCTCTTCCGTCCGTCAAATGAAACCCAGGCAGTGTTTCTGGCATCAGGGGACAGAGTGATCTGGTTTGGAACAAAATCATATATTTTAAAAAGATGCAGGTGGCGGCCAGAATGAGCGGTGGAGCCACTGATGAAAAGCTTCAAACCTGGACTAATGGGTCAAAATACATTTCCCTTTCATGAATCCAAAGAAGTTCTACACATGTTGAAAGAAAATGTGGATTAAGCTTTAAATAAGATACATCATAATTTTAGTTTAAAGCAGCATTTTGATAACGGATTTGATGACTTTGTAACTGCATCCGGTTTATTTGAGCCCAAATCAATAAAAAATAAATAGAAATAGAAATGCATCAATGATATGTGTTCAGTCAAAACTGAAACAAGCAGTGTTTCAGCGGCACGGTGGCTGAGTGGATAGCACTCTCGCCTCTCAACAAGAAGGTCCTGGGTTCGAATCCCGGTTGGACCAGGGCCTTTCTGAGTGGAGTTTGCATGTTCTCCCCGTGTCTGCGTAGGTTTCCTCCGGGTGCTCCGGTTTCCCCTACCACTAAAAATATGTACAATAGGTCTGGTATGTGCCTCCTGTACTGGCAACCCCACTCCCAAAAATAACAATTGTAAACCGCTTTGAAACTCCGATGTGCAGTGAAAAGGCGGTATATATAAATAAAGATTACTTACTTACTACTTACAAGCAAATGTTATACAATATAAAATATACTACAATCCAAGATGCAAAAGTGAGTTGGCTTTTTATCAGGCTGAAAAATAACTGAAGTTTGGCATTTTCATTGAAGCCTTTTTATGAATTTGCACCAAAGTCCTTGAGCAGCTGTGTCAATGAACTGCAGGACTATGGTAGGTCCAGTCGGGCCGCCTCAGGTGGAGACTGTAAAGTGCCGAAGAACAACTTGTCCCCAAACAGTCTTCTCTGTGAAAATCTCCAGTCTGTGGAACATGTTCCCCGTTTATTTCAAATCTGAGAAAAAGTTTGACACGTTCAGAAAAGAAAATGTTGGATGGCCAGCAGCAGTGCTGCACTCATGATTAGTGTGATTTTACTGTGTATTCTATAAATGTTTCTCTGTAGTGTTCCTAACATTGTGCTAATCATGTTGTAATATTTTCCCTGTTAAAATCCTAGGCACATCTATGGACAAGTGAATGAGTCTAAGCTTTAAAGCACCAGTTTGTCTATGTGTTTTATATCCGTCTCTACTCAATTAAACCAGAGATTAAATGAATATAAAATATCATATTAGATTTTTTTACCCCTTGTGACCTTTAACTTTTAAATTTTTAAAAGGATTCATTAATCCAACTCTTCAAACACCACAGAGACACAATAAAAGCAGAAACATCGTTGTCAGCAGTGATTGATTTTGACCATGTTTCATGATATAGTCAGCGGCGATGGAGTATGTCCTGGTGGTGTGGTTCTCACCATGAGCTCGACCCCCGCGGGCACCACGATGGGCCTGAAGGAGAGCGAGTGTGGGCAGATAGGGGTCACCATTATGGCCGGGACGTTGGGGTGGATCATGGAGGCTCCGGCTGCTGCGGCGTATGCTGTGCTCCCGGTGGGCGTGGACACAATCAGTCCTGACAGAGAGAGAACAAACTGCTTTGAAACGTTTGTGGATACATCTGAAAGGAGGATGTCACGGCAGACCGATGCAGCTTTATTGTTTAATAAAGCACTTGGACCAGAATGAGAGCCGGACCTACCATCTCCCTGCACCGAGGTGATCAGGCGGCCGTCCAAGTACAAGTCCACGTTGGAGAGGTACGAGGAGGGGCCGCGGTCTACCACGACCTCATTCAGCACCTGCACACAACCAACAAAAGCTAATTTCAAGTTTATGTGTGATATCTTGTTGTATTTTTTTCCCTGTTCATGTCTGTTATGTCCGTATTTATGTTCACAATGTCAATGAGCTTATGATCAGGAATCAGTTACTGTAACTTAAAGTATTTAATTTATTATTCAAACATACATACATTCATTTTGTTTTCTACAATTTGTTTTCCTTTGTCTACTCCTGTCAAAGCTCGTAATGGAGTGGAAAGAAGTCAAACTTATAAGCTCCAACCCCATAAACCTAAATTCACCTTATACGGTTGGGCATACAAAAATAATAAAGTTTGTTTTGTGGAGACACAATCTAACTTCAAGCAGTGAAGATTATCACCCCAGTGACTGCCAGGAGGTAGAGCCCAAATGGACTGTTCCAGGAGATGGCAGATACATATAAATACTTACAGTAGGTACCTGATAGATGTTGGGGGTAAAACAACCACTTGAGGGCAGTGTCTGCTCTTAGTCTTAGTTCCAAGGTATAATCCCTGTACAGGGTGTACTCTGGACACAGAGCCAAGCCCTGACCTTAGGTTAAATACTCATATTAAGTATACAAGAATACTCTAGATATTTGTTTAAGGAAACAAATAACTTTTTTCTAAGGGGTTAGAATATTGTTTTACTAGTTTTTTCTAACATAAATGCAGAGAGCAAGTCTGAACATTGGAAAATAACTAAATACCAAATATGATGTGATACCGATTGACTGATACGCCTCTTCCTGGGAACGCTTTGGGATTACCCTGGATGAGCTGAAGGAAGTATGTGTGGATAGGGCGTCTCTGCTTGGACTACTGCCCCTGCGACCCGTCACCGGATGGAGCGGAAGAAAATGACAGGATGGATGACTCATACGCTTTAACATACGACACAATCTAAAATACCTAAGTTTTCAAAATAAAGAATACATATTAATTAATTTTAGGCATGCGTCTCCTGTACTGGCGACCCCACTCCCCACTGTGGAGTGAGAGACAAAGGCGGGATGGATGGATGGATAGATAATAGATGATAGATGATAGATGATAGATGATAGATGATAGATGATAGATAGATAGATAGATAGATAGATAGATAGATAGATAATTATATATATATTTCATTTTATTTGCCATTTGCAGTAAAAACACCACATTGGAATACATTAGCGAAAGTCACCAGTGTGCACAGACAAATACAGACATCCCAGAGATGCTTAGCACTTGCTGGCCATTCGCTTTCACTCTGTGGTCCAGCTCACCCTAAAACCATCTAGATTGGGTTCAGGTCTGCTGACTGTGGAAGCCAGGTCATCAGCACCAATCACTCTCCTTATTGGTCAAATAGCCCTTACACAGCCTGGGTGTGAATCTACATTCAATAGGTTTCCTCCGGGTGCTCCGGTTTGCTCTACCTCTAAAAACATGTACAAAAGGTCTGGCATGCGCCTCCTGTACTGGCGACCCTGCTCCTGTCTCTGTGTGGAGTGAGAGACAAATGCCCACAATTGTAAACCACTTTGTGACTCTGGTCTGTGAAAGGCGGTATATAAATGAAGATGACTTACTTACTTAATAGTAATGAAAAGAAAGGAAAGTCATATTGAATCAAACTTTTGGTCTGTCCTGTGTATATGTACGTATTACAATATATACATATTCACAGTGCACACTTACAATACACAGTATGTACAGGCTAAATGCAAGCTTCTCTGAAACTACTCAAACACCAGACAGTTATTTGCTTGTTACGTTTCACAAGGACCACACTATAAAAATCATAATATTATTCATAAGTATCTTTTAGCTGAAGTCCCTCACTGCAGGAAACACTCGTCCACACATTCATAGAGTCTTGCCCTCTTGCCCCCCCCCACACTGTGTCCCCATAGACTGTATGTAGTAGGTGAGTATGTGCACTGACTGTACAGTATATACTGTAGTGTATGTATCCCTCTACAGTCTATGATCCCACTCTAGTCTTCCCTCTGAGCCCTCTCTGTGTTTGCACACTCCGCTCTGAGAGCACGCCGCGGCACTGACGTAAACGCCCTGCGGCCAGAGACGTGATGTAATCCACGGGGTCACCCTTCGGTGCACAGTAACAGTCTGTTTCTCAGTTCGACCAATGAGAGCAGAGCCTCACTCCTCTCACAGACCTTCACTCCTCTCACTGAGCCTCACTCCTCACACTGAGCCCGCGCTCGTCCACACACCACAGCTGCTTAATATTACTGACTGACATCTCCTCTCAGTGTTTGCACAACGCTTCAGACAAAATCATCAGTCTGACGCACTGTCTCCGTGGCAACTGGATCCACAAAACTTCACAACAGAATTTACTTTTCAAGACAACTTCTGGAGTAGGATGCTTGAGTTTTTTGTCAATGTATTTACTACTAAATTAAATTCAAATTATTTCTATATCGACCTAAATCACAACAGCAGTCGACTTGTTCATAGATTAGAACATAAAACAATTAGAACACAAGAAATGCAATAATAAAGGAAACCGTTTTATAGTCTGTTTACATGTGAGTCAAGTGAAGGTCATAAAACTACACACCAAAGTTTTGCGCATTTGCTCTTTCCTTAACAAAGTTGTCCTTGTGAAAAAATAATATAATAATAAGTCGATAATAAGAATACGATTGCTATTGTCCATTACAGCTCCATTCCCTTTGTTCCTGGGTGCACACGTGACTAATTTTTAAAGTCCAAAGTTTGCTTGACACATTCTTGATTTTGGGTCCCAACAACTCGCAGACGCTCCACAATGCAAATCCAGTGTTGCATACAAGAAATGCAACTTTTATTTAGTGTCAGAGCGTAAACATCAGGTGTGCAGTAAGAAAACACCTCCAGTGTCCTTATGTGCAAAGATCCTCCATTTTCCTCTCATGTGTTGCCGTTTACCATTATCCAGTATAATCCAAAATTTACATTACACAATTAAACTTAACTTAACATAAACTAAATTAGATATTGCATCGTACTTGCTTCTGTAACACGTCATGTCTCCTGAAGCCAAAAAACTTCCAGATTTCAAAACTGTTTTCTTGTTCGCTGCTCTCATTGTCGCTCCTCTCTTTACTCGCCATATTGGGGTTTGTGCTTTGAGATGATTGCTTCTTATTGCAATGACAATATTGTTTCAAAATATTGGGCATCCCCGCAGTCTGCTATCTGCTTGTTGCCATGGAGATATTATTACGTTGGTCGGAAAAATCATTGGTTTGGAATAAAACTAAAGTGTTTTACTGCTTAAAAACCCCCTCTCCAGTTACGACCTGTACCTCAGCCTAATGTCACTTGTATTTAGGCAAACGCTGAGGCCGAGGCTGGACCCCAAGAGTAGCGTAGTGAACCTTTGTGGCACCACGTCAATGTGAAAGCCTATAGACCTCTGAAGCTAACCAGGGCAGGGCTTGGATAGTACTGTGATGGGAGACCTCTGGGAAAACCATGTGCCACAGTGGGGCGCAGTGGAGTCAGTGAAGATCCCTAAGGGTTAGGCCTTATTAGAAGCAAAATTTAAAGATGAACCTTGAAATATTGCAGTACAGTGGTCTCTTCCTATATCACAGGTTCATCTTTCGCAGCCTCGCTGTTTAGCAGGTTTTTTTTGTGTGGAGTTGTGAAAGTTTTTATACAATGAGTTTCTCATGCACTGCATATTTAACTCAAACAACATCATTGAAGTCATAAAACTGCTAGTATAAAATGACAGTTACCTTTTTCTGAATTTTGAAGAAACTTTTGTGGCTTGTGTTCACTGCTGTGATTAGTGTGACTACCGAGGTGTTCCCGTAACCCTCAGTCCTGCTCATGAGTGTGGTGTCCTCTGTAGCTATAGGCATTTATTGTATGCACGGCTTTTGACAGCTGCAGCAACATTCAGACCTACAACAAACAGGATTGATGACTCTGCAATCGCACTTCAGCAGACGTGAGTTCAGGTGGTTAGAAGTGAATAAAGTGTGTGGTGAGGGGTTTTACTATAAAAAGCTACTACCCAGATTTATGCAGGTTACTCTTAACCCCCGCGATAAACGAGGGACCCCTGTACTTGCAATCAAATCACTCTACAACTGAAAAAAAACACTAGCATTACTAATTATCAGCCATCAATTTAACTAAAGTTGCACAAAGGCCTGAAACTCCCTCCCACTTCCTTAACCACACTGTAATTCCACGTTGATTGGAGCTTTGGGTTTGCCTAACTGCATTTTGTAACTAATGAAAAGCATCTCTGCTTTGACACACACAAGCACCAAAAGAAATACCGTTAAAATCTGTGCTTCTTGTCTGTCGTCTGGAAACCATTGTCCAATAATGTGAAAAATCCAACCATCCTTCAGGTCCGTGAACGCGGCAGATTTATTATGACTGTCTCCAAGGCAACGGGCCGATGTTCATTGTACACAGTTATAAACACACCTGGGACTGAAGCGGAGCAGAGCAGCAGAGACACGATCCAGGAGCAGTGCGTCACCGCAAGGGAAGAGCCGACGCACGGGTCATAACAACATCACAGCCCTGTCTCCAACAACATCTGCAGCAACTGGAGCCACACATACATCAACTCAACCGTTCTGAGCCATTTGACGAGGAGACGATGCAAGTCAGACGGAAAATAATGTCACCATCCACCACTGCACCCGGCACGACAACAGCAAGATACTCTGAGCGTGTGACAGATTACTGAACACAAATACAAATGCAGTGCTTTTGCTTTTGCTCCCATTGATCATGGATTCAACCTAAGAATAGAAATCTCTGTATTCAATTCTACTTATTCTTGTACAGCCCTAAATCACAACAGCAGTTATATCGAAGGACTTCACAAAACCGTTGAATCTGCCGACACAGATCAGAGAATCAAGCAGTTTAAACACAAGAAATGCAATATTATATTATAGACCCATCTCTATCTCGATATTGTTCCCAAATCTGTTTCAGGGAGCACTTATACTTGGCGGATACATTCCATCCAACCTCACATGTGTGCTATATCAAGATGCATATGATTTGACAGCATCAATACTACACACTCAGGTTAGGTTGGCTCATAGACTGTATAGAGATGCTAACAATGCTAACCTGGTCGCTAAATGAAGTCCAAAATATCTGTGGTCTAGCGCTCTCCGTGATCCGGGTCCTTTTTATGTTGATATAGTCTTTGTAAATCCAGATATGAGTCATAAGGTGTGACCAATCAGATGCCTTCCTCCAAACCTCAGCTGGCCTTAGCAACCATCTTAGCAACGGTTCTGCCCCTACATGAAGCTAACAAAAGACCCATATAAAGAAATTGCTCCAGCCTCCAGCTAACTTATGTTCAAATCGGCTATACAATAGAAAACTTTCAGTATCTGGTGCAAAGTTGCTGAATATTGACAGGAACTGGAACTCGCTGTTGCATATGGTGATCCAGAGCATCCCAAATATTCTCAATAGTCTCAAATAGTAAGAGTAGTATACACGCTGCATCAGGCATTTCCAGCGGGTTTCTGTAATATATTAGTGCATTGCAGTCACTAAGGCCAAGGATAATTACTATATGTCTGAACTTTCAGATGTACTAACTGAGAAAGAGACACTAAAAAGGTTTGGTCCTCACAAAACTGCCTTTTTCAGTTGGGTAGTGACTTTGAGAAGAAATATGCTAAACATTCAAACCACTCCGGATTCTGGGCTAAGCCGAGTACACACCTATTGATTCATCAAATACATGGAGGAAACCCACTAATTATTTCCAAATGCATGATCCCAGACTTAGACTGCTTCAGTCTGCTCTGGGACGTGATCCATCCTCACACAGATGTTTTGGCTGAAAGCCTCAAACCAGGTGTGCAATACAGTCACACAATTCATATAAATGTTCATCATAGCAGTGGCAGAAAGTGCAGTCTGCAATAGATGCTCTGAGGCAACAACAACTGCTTTGTACAACATGAGACACTAATGTGTAAGCTTCTGTGTCAAAACAAAATGTGTGGCACCGTAGAGTTTGTGAACACACATCTATCCAGAGAATTCATTCATTAAAGGAGGTTTTGACCATTTTCTAACATTCACCATTTCAGGGAAAAAGGACATTCGCTTGTGAATTATACATTTCAGTATTTCTGAGAAAAATGCATTTACACAGGTTTAACACAGGGTTAATAAAGCCTCATTACTCATGTATTAAGTTCAGAAAAGGTAATTAAAAACACGTGAGAGCCCACATGGAGCTACTGCGCTGCACATTCTTGAGAAGACGCGCTGGCTCCTGTGAGCTTTAACTATAAACAGTAGCAAGTAGACGTCTGTCCATCAGTTGTTGTGGGGCAAGAGATAATACTCTGAGCAGGTGCTCACTGCAATGAATGAATGTGCAGCTTTGATTATGAGTCACTCTGTTTGTCAATACAATGTTCACTCACAAAACCTTCAGGGCTGAATGTGAAGGTCTCTGCGACTCTGCCCTCTAAACAAATATACCATTGTCAACAGCTGGAAATAAAATTAAAAAGTAGGCAATTTCTTCACCCCTAAATATTTAACAAATACAATCGTTTTTTTTCTAAATATACAATAATATAACTTTAAATTGCAATGGAAAAAAAAACTTATATTTAATTTTACAGTTTTTAATAACAGAATCTCTACCTGTGAGACATTATTACAAATATTGTCATTATGGGGGAAAGAGTTAAGGTCATTCTGTTCAAAAATTCAAATCTAGCCGGACGAAAACTTTGGATGATTTTCCCTTTTGTGGCCAAGAATATTTCACTGTAAACATAGGCTCAGAATATGGACTTCAACATGATGTCTTGTACATTTCTAAAAAGAGTCTGACCTGTAGCTGCAGAGACACCTTCCCCGTCTCGGCGCTGCTGTGTGTTTGGGGCAGGAGGCCGTTGTGGGACGGCGTGGACTGCAGCAGCTCCTTCACCACTTTCACCTTCAGACGACTGCGCAGCGTGATGGCAGCGTTCCCTACATTTACAAATAAAAGGTCAAAAGAACTGACCTTAGCGGTGGTGTTAGAAAATATCGATTCGGCAACATCACGTATCTACGGCTGTATGGGGATTTAAAAAAAACAAAAAACAAAAAATACAAATAATAAATCAATATGTTTTATTATAGGATGCAATATTGATTTTTTCATATTTGTTCTTTGATTTATTGATATTGTGTAACAGTCAGATACACTAGACATTGCAAACTGGAGCATAAAGATTTTGACCAGTCAATCTTTATTTCAATGAAATGCACCAACAGTGTTGTATTTTTACTGTAGTTTCCACTGAATTGGATTGAATCTCTTGGAAATACATTGTATCAAATGAAATGAAATTGCCCTAAATCAGGTACATTTATATCAGGTATTGTGGCTTTTATTTTGAGGTACATATCATTTTGGTAAACCCTATAAAATCAATTTCTGATGTAATGTCAAAATTATTTTTTGTACGGCACTGATACTCCTCAGAGGAAAAAATATACTCATACTGAGAAAAATCACCCTACGGCTTAATATCAGGATCATATAGTTTTGTGACACAAATCGCACAGCCACATTTTTTTTACCTTCAAAGACTTTGGCAACTTCGGTTTTGTAGGATTCAAACTTGAAAGGTGTAAGAAAGCCCAATGAGCCCAGATGGAACGCCATAACAGGAGGAACACTGCCCTAGAAAAAACAGAAATCACTTCCTTTAAAATGGTTTGATCATCTGATGATTACGGGATTTTGGTAGTAAAGGGAAGCACATAAGTTAATATTGAATAGTTTTCATGTGGCTGAACTGCCAGTCCTTTCCATTTAAACAACTTTGTCTCAACAAAGACTCAAAAGATCATTGACAAATGGAAATCATTTAAATTCCATCTGATTAAAAGCTCTAGTTAGAAATCCCAACAACAATGCCAATAAGGAAAGAACACATGCTTCCCCATTATCTATAACTGGAGGCCATTGTGTGACCTAAAAATCCTCAGGGAGTAAATAAGAGCGTAAAGTAGGTCTAAAAGTAAAATCCAAGATATTTAAGTTGCTGATGTATTTTACCTGGAAGAGGGAGGAGGCGTAAAGCAGGGTCCCATCTCCTCCCAGACAAATGATCAGGTCAATGCAGTCTGAGATGTCGTCAAAACCTGCAGTGATCAAACAGACAACTATGGAACTCAAGCTTTTCCAATCTAAGTGAGTTTCAAGTTAAGACTCCCAACGAGGTTGTAAATGCTGCAGAATACATTTCAAATGCGTACACATTATCATGTGATATTTTCCTTATAAAATCATACATATAATGGGCTTGTTCACACTAAAGGGCACAAAAGTGTGGCAAAAGGCCAAAAATTACATTTTAATAATCAGAAGATATTTTATGTTTTTCATGTTTTCAAACACCTCCTCTGTTCATTAGAAGTTGCTAGAACATAACTGTTTTATACATTAGACAAGTTTCCTATAGCGGCCCTGTTTATTTTATCTAACGGACGTGATGATTTGACGGAATGAGCTTTGTGGAAGTTTGATAGGTATTTTCAGATGTCCACATTTGATTCAGAGATTCTATTTTTTTACACAAAGTAGATGCAAAGTGATACTTTAATATTATCAAGCAATTAAATGTGAAAACAGACCAGATTTTTTTTGTTCTCAAGTTTAATTTTTAGAGAAAAGAGGACCGTCCTCATCACGTCCGTTATACATTTTTCAGGGGTCCTTTAATTAATTAATTATTTTTTATTTTTTTACGATTACTTTTTATATCAAGTGATTTCCTTCTGTTGTGTTAACCATGTAAATCTTGTGGGATTTCATCTTCTGCTTTTTCAGACTGAGGACATTTTATTTTCTATGTAACTGGCGTCACAGTAGAATGGTCCAATCAGAGGCTAATTTGGTCGTTTAAAATGTTGCTAAAAAATGTTATGTCAATCTTTCCTTTTGATTTTTTCCACACTATCTCTTCAATGTGCCTGTGTTTGAAATATTTTTTCCAATCTATGAAAGTAATTTTAGTTTTTAAGTTATAACCTTTTAAAGTCCAGATACTTCAATTGTCACTTTACTGTGAACACACTCATGATCTACATCATGTGTCCCCAGATAACAGGTCACATCATATTTGGTATTTAAGAGTCTTTCTTTACTGAAAATATATCCAACCAGAAGGCAGAATGAGGCTCTCATTTCGGTTGCCATTTTTTTAGGTGAAATTTAGCCGATATTGGCTCCATGTCTTTTTATTTTTATAACAAAACTCATATACTCAATAAAATGTGTTTAAATGAAAGCACATACAAAAATAGTCATAGATAATATACAGAGTTTGTACTGCCTCTTGCTAAATCCCAGCAGGTGGATTGCATCAGTAATCAGTTCTTAGAAGCTACATGTTGAATGTAAGTTTTGATAATATGAGTGCATTTAATGATTTCGGGGATACCACAGGAAGAATAGCCACAATAAACTAAACTAAACATGTGTCACATCCCAAGCAGTAAGATTCTGGCAAGAAAAGTTTATTTTGTTAGACCACTAACTGCAAATTTCACACACTGACAACCATAGACTGTAAATATTAACGGACGTAGTCACGTCTATCTCTGCCGTTCTAACTAATGTGCCACAACTTCCGAGGTCTATAGGCAGTTTCAAAATGGCCGTGTGGGCTGGAAAGTGTGAAAGAACACATCTGCGCACGCGTCAGCCGGCACAAGCCCCATTCATTTAACGAGTATCTTCAAAAATTCACAGCGACTCAACTAGACTGGTCCAAAAAAATTCACCCCCCTCAGCATTGACAAGCATGTGGAATGGAGCTTTGGGCCAAGAGCCAACTTTTGAACCATCCTGTAAAGACGTTTTTGAGAGGGGAGCTCAGCAAATGCTATATGTCAGCATTGGCTAATTCTTATTCCGGGTCCACCCCCATCGTCCCGGGGTGGTATTGCAAGCATGTCAGCGCACGTCATTTGGGCCACTTTTGAGCCGGGACCAGACCCCACTGGTGACAACCCACAATTTTGGTCTACAAGTTTGTTTTTGTCAAATCTATTAACAAGGCTTTTGTGATCCAAACTAAATAATAAAGTAAAGTCGACTATAATTATTACATACAGCCCTAAATTATAGATATCTGATTTCATTTTGGGCTGTGATGCAAAACCACAGATCAGCACGAGGTCCTCACCCTCTCTGAAAGTGCACAGCTGATTTCGTATTGACCCAAAAGTCTCGTCGTTTGCGAGCGTTGCATCGTCTGCCACCCGGCGCTCCACATAAACCATCATTTGCTTCTCCTGAAAGACACAGAAGGATAAAACATACGTACAGTAAGGACTCACTCAGCTGTTTTAGTTTAGACAATAGGTCCAGCTGCCTTTGACTTAGATCTAGTGTAGTCATAGAAACGTCACACATCTGACCTGCTTTAATGTGGTTTAAGTGAGTAAATGCCAAGCAATGACTAAAGCTTTCAACTTATGGTCTGACCCATAAATAAGACCAATAGTCCCAAGACTTTATGGTAGGAGGCATATAGTATTTAAAGCTGGAGCACAAATAGACTAGTCTTGTTTAAGTAACTAATTTCAGTAATTTTGTGAACAAATTAGACCACAACATGTAGTTTTTATTTTACCTACTAAGAGCTGATTGTCGGAGAGAGGGCCCTCTTTCATTGAAGAAGCCGATCCAAAGATGTGACAGTCGGATGAAATAAATGCATGCATAAATGCAAACCGTTTTGACAGCAAGGAAATGGTTGATTTTTATTACAGTTCACTTTTTGCGGTTTTAAATTTAGGTACCCCAGCTTTATTTGTTTATTTATTGTTTCCTACTTAATTTGCTGTTGTTCTACAATTTGCTGTAGCCCTATTTACTTTAAGTAATGCACTACATACAATATTGCTGTTATTAGACAGAATAATCTTTAAGGTTTGATCCTGGGGTTGGAGATTGGTTTTCATAACAAAAGCAGCAAATTAAAACAAACATAATGAACATTTTGTGATGTGAACTGAAAGAATTTATTTGATTTGATTAATCCTCTCTTATGTATGCACCTTGTTAGTTATTTTAAGTTTATCTTGTTTTTGTAAAGCCATTCAGTTAAATTATTTTTGCATAGCCCTAAATAATTACAGAAGTTGTTGATTCACCAGCAGCAGATCAAAGAATTAAGAAGAAAAACAGTTCGAAAACAGTAAATACAATTATAGCAAACACATAGGATCCCTAAATGTTTCTTAATGTCTCAGATCATCACTGTCCTTAGACCCTCCAGCTTTGACAAGGAACAACAACAACAAAAACAGTGGGAAAAAAGTGATTCACATTGAGGTCCATATTGAGAGAGTGATCTGCTCAGAGTGCTCAGCTACAGGCTAAGCACTTTGAGTTGCCTTTGTATGAATTGTGCTATACATATAAACTTGGCTTGCCATCATGTTCATTAACAGTACACTTTATTTGTAAATAGTCTTCACGCAGAGGCACACTGTTTAAATGGAATGCATTGTTTTTACTCTGATTGCTTTTTTTGTGGTAAGAAAAAAAAAATCCTGAAGCTAAATAGTTACTGCCCTACTTGGTGAGTGTTGTTAGACAAAACAGAGCAGAGAGACTCAAATCCACAGTCAGAACACGACATAAGTGAAGCCAGACTTAACACTGGCCTAAATATCTGCACCACTTCCTCAACTATTTGTGTTAGATTTGATGGTCACTCCCTCAAACTTCACGGACAATGTGTTATTCGGCGCGTCTCCTCCAGCCAAAACAAAGCCCTGATTATTACCAGACCGGGATAAGAGCGATAGAACAAAAGCACTTTGTGTCTCTTCATCAAATACACACTAAGATACAAATGAAGAATGTTTGCGTCAAAGGTGGAAGTAAAGCTGGACGACTAGAATGAACTATGGTATACTTTGTTAACTACACTACAAAAAGTGATTAAAAATAATTTGACTGCCTTGAAACAAGATTTGCCAATGGGACAAGCAGAAGTATCTTGTTTTAAAAGGATACAAGAAATGTCTCCCTTGGAATGGGAAAGTAAAGCAACAGTTTTTGAGATAAGACTAACTGGCAATCTTGTTTTAAGACAGTCTGACTGTCTTAAAACAAGATTGCCAGTACTCAAATTAAGATGAAAAAAAAAAAAGTACTTTCATGTCAACAAATATTTTGGTAATGCATTAAATAAAGTAATCCATAACTTCTACTTTCAACACAACATCCTTAAAGGAGCTATACCCGTTTCTGCAAGGTTTGAATGTTTAGCACCGCCCCTCAACTCTCTCACAGAATTCTCATTTCCACGAAGCCATCTAGTTATATCTGCGATCTGATACGTATGCAAACATTAGCATGAGCGCAACTTCTTCTGTACAGCAATCACTGATGAAATGGTACATAAGCAACGCTAACAAAATATATAACTGAAAGATTACCGCTAGTTCCGCGTCCGAATTTAGTCCGAGCACCCTGAACACACCATCCCCACCTCAGCTGTAGTTATCTGCAGTTCATCCAGAGCGATCATGGGCCTCTTGGCTGCATCTCTGATCAGTCTTCTCCTTGTTTGAGATGAAAGTTTGGAGGGACGGCCGGGTCTTGGTAGATTTGCAGTGGTCTGATTCTCCTTCCATTTCAATATAATTGCTTGCACAGTGCTCCTTGAGATGTTTAAAGCTTGGGAAATCTTTTTGTATCCAAATCCGGCTTTAAACTTCTCCACAACAGTATCCTGGACCTGCCTGGTGTGTTCCTTTGTCTTCATGGTTCTCTCTGCGCTTTAAACAGAACCCTGAGACTATCAAAGAGCAGGTGCATTTATACGGAGACTTGATTACACACAGGTGCATTCTATTTATCATCATCAGTCATTTAGGACAACATTGGATCATTCAAAGATCCTCACTGAACTTCTGGACTGAGTTTGCTGCACTGAAAGTAAAGGGGCCGAATAATATTGCACGCCCCACTTTTCAGTTTTTTATTTGTTAAAAAAGTTTAAATTATCCAATAAATTTCGTTCCACTTCACGATTGTGTCCCACTTGTTGTTGATTCATGACAAAAAAATTAAATTTTATATCTTTATGTTTGAAGACTGAAATGTGGCAAAATGTTGAAAGGTTCAAGGGGGCCGAATACTTTCGTATGTGTATGTATGTGTATGTATGTGTATACACATGTTTATATGTAGATGTGTGTCTATGTGTATCTGTTTATATGCATGTATGTATGTATGAATATATACACATATATGTGTATATATACACTTATTAAATGATAACTACTGTATCTTATGACTATCGGTCTGTAAGATACAGTAGTAAAGAGTGGGTAGGCGAATAGTGAGAGCTTGTGTGAGTGTGTGGCATGAGTGTGTGTGTGAGTGTGTTAAGTATTTGTAGTATTATCATTTTTACTTTAATTTGTTGTATTATTATTACTACTGTCTATTATTTTTTTATTGTTGTTGTTATAATGATTTTGTTTTTGTTTTATTTTTACTTGACTGTATCTACTCTGCTATCCTATGTTCTTTGGATATGATCATGAGGACCCCCCCACGAAAACGAGATGATACATCTCATGGGGTTTATCCTCCAATAAAATGTCCATAAATAAATAAATAAATAATATAAATAATATAAATAAATACATATTTTGTGAACACTATTCTATTCAACTAGTTAGCAACTGGCTTGTTGCTATACTATAACAGCCACTACAGCCACTACATTCTACTGGGTAGAATTCAGATAACTAAATGTAAACATAAATATTTGAATAACTATATTGTCAGTCACATAGATGTATGTAAAGAACATATTTGTTATGTATTTACCTCCACAAGAAAGCGACAGAGCTCCTTGAACGGCTCTGCAAGGCTTTCATCGCGGATCTTCCGGATCACCAGGACGTTCACCGGAGGCTTGTTCCAGGTGAGGCGCTGACTGGCCGGGTCCTGGATATGCCTGTAGCACAAGGTGAGATCAATCAATACAAATGAAACACAAGAACTATACAAGAGCAGAAAGGATAAAACAAACCAGTTTATCTTCATGTAAGACAGTTAACTGAGAAGTTTCCGAAGCTCCTCTTCTTGACAAATCTACAATCTGTGCTAGCAGCAGCTGTCATTGATTAACCGCGTGAGGGACAAATTCCAAAGTTGTAGCAAGAGATCAAATACATGTATGAGTGCAGAAAGATATTGTGCCGACGGAATACAAACCTTGAAAAAAACAAACAATCCAAACATTCCATTGAGAAAATTATGGGAAAAAGATTGTTTTATTTAAAAGGTCGGCATAGTTCCATTTAAAAACATTACTTTGGTAGCTCTGAAATTTGAAATGTATTTTTGCATGGCCCAATGACCAACAAAGAGGCCAACAAAATGATAGAATTGATCATTTTATTATTTCACATTTCAGGGTCAATTTCCCAATGTTTAAAACCTCTGGCAGCATTCTGCCATTCTGATTCTTAATTAAAAATAAACACTGACACTGAAACATGCATACACCGGTTTGCAGTCTTTCAAATGAGTACATTCATTTTACTGTTAAACAAAGCGTGCATCTAGTTTGCAGAAAAAGCTACGCCCTTGCCGATGACCAGTTGTGATTAGCAATAACTACATCAGTTTATTACCGCATGATCGACTGCGTTATGCCGCAAAATGAACATTGGTGAATAGAATACGTTTGAATGGATCACGTGCATAGCCGACAGCTAAAAGACCAAAACACTATGGTTCAAACGTCACAAAAAACTGGTGCTTTATATTGCTTTTGTCAAAGCAGGTTGTATTACAGCACAGACATGGAGCGTGTTTACTCCCTGCAAATGACATTTGCAGAAATGCGCTGAGTGTCATCAACCGATTATCAGTTTATAAAAACATTTAACCTTAATTTAACATTAAAAATAATTACAAGAAATCCAGAACTTCTCCAGCCCCACGTTGAGAACCACTAATGTTTTCTATATATCAAAAGGGACTTCATTTTTCTTATTCCTACCTGTTTAAAGACTGCTGATGGCAATTCACTTTTTGCTTTGTAGAAATAAATAACTGTATTATTAGGAAGGCACTGGTTCAACTTCTTCATGTCCAATAAAGTTATGATACCGAAGGTACTGGAATTAGCTTATTCCACCTAAATTACATAATTTAACATTGTCCCTAATTACTACACCAATAAAGTGCAGTATAAAGAGCTCTGCAGCGCTTACATGATTGAAGTTGGGTTGGGAAGAATACAGGCCTTGGGTCCAAAGTGAGTGGCTGGATATGGTCCATGAAGGAAGTGCGCTCTCCTGTGAGGACAGAGACACAGGATCAGTTCATGCCCATTGCTGTGACCAGCTGGTGACCCGCAGTGCAAACCTCTTAGGAGAACTTTCCGCTGTGTCGCTCTCAGATCCACAGGCCTTCAAGTGCTCGTGTTGTCCCGGTAACCCGCGGCCCTCTCGGAGCAGCTGCTGGTGACCGCCCCCCTGTCGCTGCGGCCTCTTCCCGTCACGACGTCGCCTAGGAGACCGGGTCGCGCTATCCCTCAGCACCGGGCATCGGTCCAAGTCCAACACAGGACCAGAGGGACCAGAGGGGCCGGAGGGCTGTGTCATTCCACTGTCTGCAGGGGCCAGACTGCTGTCAGTAACTTCCATGCTGAGGAAATGACATCAAATCAAGAATTAGTGGCATTAATCACACTGATAATTGTGGTTTAGCGATGACAACTTAAAAAAATACATCAAACATGAATGGTTTCATGATTTAAGCAAATACATCATGCTGTGCTGCAGGCTCACTGGAAAGTGGGTTAATTTCCCAAATACAAGTTCCTACTTGTATTTGAGTTAATAAAATTAACAGATGTAGCGTTGAATAAAAGGGCCAGTTCTAAACTATCTAGAAAACAAGGTGTTTACCACCTCAAAGCTACAGTTTGTGGGGGTTGTCATAATTGTGAAAAATCACAATTTGCCTTACGGCACGAGATAAACATCACAGTAAACTGAACTCCCAGTTCACAAGTCCACAGATAAGTCTTCATAGTTGAAACCTGATGCTTCGGATTATTTACTGTGACAGCATTATAGTCGCACAGTGGTGATCTATAATAAAGGTAGTGTACTCAATGACTGAATCATTATTTGTTTTGTGGTAAATAGCGAGCTGTCATAATCCTGAATTTGAGTAAGAAAAACAATAAAAGAAAAAATCTATAAGAAACAAAAATGGCAAAAAAGTAAACAACAATATAACAATAATAATAATACATTTCTGACACATAAGGAAATTTTAACTCACGACCCTATTATAATCAAAAGTAGAACGTCATGAATTGTATAGCTAGTTGATGTTGAACGCTATGATTCATCTAAAGCTAGTTACACGCAAGTTGCACACACTTAAGCTAACACATTAGCCCACACTTCCTGAGAGTAAAACAGATAAAGTTATTCATATGAGAACAGCGTGTTTTCCCGTCTGTCATTTACAACCATAAAATCCGATCGTTTGTTGACAGACCGTTAGTTACCGAGCAATATCTTAGCATTAGCAGCTGGGCAGAATAGATTGAATCATAGTTAAATTCTAGCACTTATAGTATCACAAAAGCAATTGGATGACGCATGTGTTATACATTTACCAACCCTTCAGAAGTCACACGTTACAGTCAAACTTTATAGGTGAAATTTTATAATAGAAACATGACCGAGACGGTGATGGGAATACTTCCGGAATGAACGCGTTTACGTCACGAGAGACGCGTATTTTTGTCCCTGAAAGCAGTTCTGGCAGACTATGTCGAAGCCGTTCCCCTACCAAACCCAAATTATTATCTCAAATTATAACTACTTAGTGTTGCATACTATACTAATTTACCAATGCAATAACATTTGTGTGGCATACACTCTAGATAAACTCGACTGTGTTGGGGAAAATAAAGTACGTTTTTCGCGGTTGGAAGATTTGCATCAGTGACGTCCGTTTTAGTGATTAGTTAGTTATTAAGAAAAGCCCAAGAATAAGAACCATTGCAACCAATATGTTTTCAGTTTGTTCATTTTTTTTATTATTATTCTATCTGCTTCATGTTTATCTTATGACTACCGGTATTGCAAGGTAAGTTAGTATATGGTTCTTCATTTGCAGTTTGTGCCTGTCTATCGATCTTTTTTTTTTTTTAAAGGGAAATTGAGAAAACTCATTTCCTCTCTTTAAGCGTGTTGCCCTTTTTTCTCAGAACTGATACATCATCTTTTGGAACTTTCACTTTCGCTCATTTAAATAAGTAATGAAGTAGAATATATCTAATATCATTGTTTATTTCTTATCGAATAAATAGGAATAGGCTAGCTAACAAGTCATCTACATTGACTGTGTTCATGGTTTTTCTTTTCATTTCATTCTATTTGTTTCTTAATAACATTACAGTCACATAAAGAGCAGGAGTAGGACGAAGACAGTCTTATTTAAACCCTTTCCCCAATTACACGAATTACATGAAGTCATAGATGTTTGTTGTCTTATTGTATTAAATTGCAATACTGTTTATCTCTTAATTTAACATAATACACTTAAATTGTAATATATTTAAACATGTTTTCAGTTCATTGTCCAAAGAGTTCCAGACTTTAGACCAGCATATGAGATTGATATTTTCTGAGTGTAGTGTAGCATTTTAAAATGAAGATTCCTTATGCTGGGGCGACAGTAGCTCAGTTGGTAGAGCATTGGCCTTTGAGCCTGAAGGTTGTGGGTTCGAGCCCACCGTAAGACCTTCTTCACGACTCCCACTGATGACTGCTGTCGTTGTGTCCTTAGGCAAGACACTTAACCCCACTTTGCCTGAAGCTCCCACTGAAAGATCTCAGCTCCTGTGGACTCACCACCTGCAGGAGGATCAGTGAGGGGCTGGTGCTCTGTGTACTGGGTGGCATCTCTGGCCACCCCCCCGACCCAGAAATGGATTAAGGGGAAGAAAATGGATGGATGGATGGATTCCTTATGCTGCTTTCATTGTTTACTGAAAGGCCGTTTGCAGGCCAGAGGGCAAAAGACAACTTTGTGGTCTGAACATAATTGCTAATATCTGTAATACAATAAAATCTTTCAGTTTTAACAGTCCTGACTTTACTAATAGTTCTGTTGTGTGTTTACTTGGAGCAGTATTGTATATTATTTGTACATTTCTTTTTTGTAGAATGACTTAAGGCATTAGATTAGTATTGTGGGAGTTACCCTAGACTTCAAGGAAAATACAAATACAAATACAAATAATATACAAATAATATCATAGAATCCATGAACAGTATAAATTGCCTTATAATTTACCAAATACTTTTCTTTGCTCAAAGCAAGCTATATAAGCAATATTTCAGAAACCCTTTCGATTTTGATATAATAAAAAATAGATAAATACAAATATATTCAAAATGTTTACTTTAACAACATTAACTTGGTTTTGCAAGAGTTTGTTGACATCAAACCATTGTTGAAGTAGGACCATTCCCCCTTCTCCATCACACCGGACCAGGTGAGGAGTGAGCTCAAGCGACTGAAGCAGAGGAAATCCGCTGGACCGGACGGGATCAGTCCCAGGCTGCTGAGGACCTGTGCAGACCAGCTCTCTGAGGTCCTCAGCTACATCTACATCTACAACCTGAGCCTCAGCCTGGAGAAGGTCCCTGTCCTGTGGAAGACCTCCTGTGTGATCCCGGTTCCTAAAATAGCGCACGCCAAGGAATTGGCTCACTACAGACCAGTCGCACTGACCTCCCACCTGATGAAGACCATGGAGCGGCTCATCCTCACCCATCTCTGCTCTGTGGTTAGCCCCACCCTGGACCCGCTGCAGTTCGCCTACAGGCCCAACATCGGAGTAGAGGACGCCGTCATCTACCTACTGCAGCGGACTCTCTCCCACCTGGAGCCCGCAGAGGGCGCTGTGAGGGTCATTTTTTTTGACTTCTTCAGTTCTTTCAACACCATCAGACCGGCACTATTGCGGGGTAAGATGGAGGACACGGAGTGGACAGTCAGGTCTCTGCATGGTGCATCTGCCACCTGCAGAAGTTGTCTGACTCCGCCATCGTGGGTTGTGTGTCTGAGGGGAACAAACTGGAATATCGGTCGGTTATCACAGACTTTGTCGACTGGTGTGAGCGCAACCACTTTGTGCTTGAACACCAGTAAGACCAAGGAGATGGTAATCGACTTCCGGAGAAAATCACTTTCCCACACGCTGCTGAACATCCAGGGGGAGGACATCGAGCTGGTGGACAGCTTCAAGTACCTGGGTGTTCACATTTAGCCTGACTCTCACCAGACCCTTGTAGTTCTGCCATGCTCCACCAGAGGCGTTTTGCTTCACACAAGGGTCTGGTGTCGAGCGCATACCAAACTCCTTCAGCAGATCAGAAAATAATCGACCAATCAGGATCGCCGGTGTTACGTCGGGTTTGCACCGCCTTCTCAAGCGTGTCTGATGCGGCAGCAAAAGCAATCCAAGATGGTGAACATGAAGTCTGTAAAAAAAAAAAAAAAAAAAAAAAGTTCAAATACGAACAAATTAAGACACGGATGTCACTTTTAATGCAATATGAGGCGAGATGTTGATGGTTGTGACATGTTGTTACAGTGCCTTGCAAAAGGTTTCACCCCCCATGGCATTTTGTGTGCATTGTTGCCTCAACCTGGAATTTACATGTATTGTTTGAGGATTTGCATCAGTTAATTTACAGAACATGCCCACAACTTATTGTGAAGCAAACAACAAATAGGACAAAATAACAGAAAAGGTCAATGTGCATAACTATTCACCCCCCTAAAGTCAATACTTTGTACAGCCACCTTTTGCAGCAATCACAGCTCCAAGTCGCTTTGGATAAGAGCTTGTTACATCTTACCACTGGGATGTTTGCCCATTCCTCCTTGCAAAACTGCTCCAGCTCCTTCAAGTTGGATGGTTTGCGCTTGTGAACAGCAATCTTTAAGGCTGACCACAGATTTTCTATTGGATTGAGGTCTGGGCTTTGACTAGGCCATTCCAACACATTTACATGTTTCCCCTTAAACCGCTGAAGTGTTGCTTTAGCAGTGTGTTTGGGGTCATTGTCCTGCTGGAAGGTGAACCTCCGTCCTAGCCTCAAATCACTTACAGAGTGGTACAGGTTTTGCTCAAGAATATCCCTGTATTTAGCACCATCCATCTTTGCCTCAACTCTGACCAGTTTCCCAGTCCCGGCTGCTGAAAAACATCCCCACAGCATGATGCTGCCACCACCATGTCCCACTGTAGGGATGGTGTTCTTTGGGTGATGTGATGTGGAGGGTTTGCGCCAGACATAGCGTTTTCCTTGATGGCCGAAAAGTTCGATTTTAGTCTCATCAGACCAGAGCACCTTCCTCCATACATTTTGGGAGTCTCCTACATGCCTTTTCGCAAACTCAAAATGTGCCATTTTGTTTTTTGCTGAAAGTAATGGCTTTCTTTTGGCCACTCTGCCATAAAGCCCAACTCTATGGAGCGTACGGCTTATTGTGGTCCTATGTACAGATACTCCAGTCTCTGCTGTGGAACTCTGCAGGTCTCTGTGATGCCTCTCTGATTAATGCCCTCCTTGCCAGGTCCGTGAGTTTTGGTGGGCGGTCGTCTCTTGGCAGGTTTGCTGTTGTGCCATGTTCTTTCCATTTGGTTATGATAGATTTGATGGTGCTCCTGGGGATCATCAGAGATTTGGATGTTTTTTTATAACCTAACCCTGACTTGTACTTCTCAACAACACTGTCCCTTACTTGTTTGGAGAGTTCCTTGGTCTTCATGCCAGTGTTTGGTTAGGGGCGCCTCTTGCTTAGGTGTTGCAGCCTCTGAGGCCTTTCAAAAAAGGTGTGTATATGTACTGACAGATCATGTGACACTTAGATTGCACACAGGTGGACATCATTTCACTATTTATGTGACTTCTGAAGGTAAGTAATGCTAATTCAAATTTCCAGTTTTTTATTTCTTAAAAATAGTTTTTTGTATATATTTTTCTCAATTCACTTCACCAACTTAGACTGTTGTTTTCTGATCTATCACATGAATTCAGATTCAGGTCTGGCGAGAGTCAGGCTAGTTCACATTGACAATAAACTGGACTGGTCCCATTACGCCCTGTACAAGAAGAGCCGAAATCGCCTCCACCTTCTTAGGAGGCTGAGGTCCTTCGGAGTGAGCAGGCCTCTGCTCAGGACTTTTTATGGCTCTGTGGTAGCTTCTGCCATATACTACGCTGCCGTGGGCTGGGCCCCGGGCAGCACAAAGTGGGACAGGAGCAGACTGAAAAAGATGGTGAGGAGGGCCACAGGAGGGTGCTAGTCAAAGTCACCTCCATCATGAACAACTCCTCCCACTGCGCAGGACTAGAGGAGCTCCTTCAGTGGAAGACTGAGACACCCTTAGTGCAAGAAGGAGCGCTACCGCAGGCCCTTCATCCCTACCGCTGTCAGACTGTACAATAAGTCACTTTAAGTCACTAATGACCTGCACTGAATAAAATGCACTCCTATAGCCACATACTACATAATATATCCTGCACAAAAGAGACCATATTTTTAACATTTAACATGTTGCATGCTTCCTCTCTTTTTGCACAATCTGAGTGATTCTATCCATGCCAAATGTGACATGTACATTTCTTCATTGTGAGATCAATAAAGTTTATCTTATCTCATCTTATTATATTGTCATCAAAATAATGTCTCATCTGCAAATAGTGCAAAATGTAATATTATGGACACATCACAAAGATATTTGTGATGTCATGTCATGTCAATGATTGTCAAACATTCTGGTTTAGTTGGATGGACTTCCCTGTGTAAACCACACCTCTAAACAAAGTGGGCTTGTGGACGAGAAACTCTGCACTTCCTTCCTGTCTCTACACGCTGCCACTCGCCTGACACACACAGGTAAGATTCTGTACGTGTAGATTTACTCTCAGAATTCTATGTCACATAGACACACAGTAGAAAAGTGTTTGTAGAAGGTTCATGTCTGAATGAGTGATTTTCTAACTGGATTTGTGTATTTCAGCAGTTGTGCAGCTTATTCTGTTTGAAACCTAATATTTACAATTGTTCATGAGATAAAGGCTGAAGAGTTCTGTTGCAGCTGTGGCAACAAACACATATGATGAAAAGTCCAAGGTAACACAATCAAGTGTTTGTTTACTAATAATAAGGGTTTACCTGCGACTCGTCGGACTCACATAAATGGAATATGATATCCACTTTAATCAAAACTTTTTTGTTCACTTTCTGTCATGGCGGACTGACAGTGTATGAAAGTACTTAAATAGGCAAGCCAAACTGAACTAGCTAAAATGTCATTCGATAAACACCACAGAACAGTTTCCTAACACATCTCCCCTCAGCCAATCAGCTCTCAGCCTAAAGCATCAAAGAGTGACTCACAAGGGTATTTCTAACAAGTATGCCAAAAATAACATGTTTTCTAATAAGATAAAGACCGCAGGCTATGAACTGATTCGTTCACAAAATGTACTCTTTCTCTGATACGCTGATATCAGGAACTTCTGGTATGAACATACAGTATAACTCCACCCCTTCTGTTTTAAAAGCTCCTGTCTCAGTCCTGTAACATCTAAAGATTTTTATTTGACATTCTCAAACATGACATGACACAGTAAATAGTCTCATTAGCCGTGTTATTGGACAAAAACACACATTTCTTCCTTAAATACAGTATATAGATATTGTCAAAGGCATCAGCTGTGGATTCTGTTGCTTTTCCAGATCTCCCAGCATGGCCGGCGTTCCCCAATAGCTCCCAGATGGACATGAGTGTACCAGTCCCCTCGCTGCTGTTGGGGCTGGGGGGAAAATGCATCCTGAACTGGGCTCTGGTCTTCCTCCAAAGGGACCACATCTGGAGCAGCTTCATCTGCGTTTTCAGCCTCTCCGTCTCCGTCATCGACACCATTCTGACCATTTTAGTAACATCCATTCACTTACTTCAAGACGTCAACATCTTGGGTTTGCGACTGGGCCAGTATCACGTGTGCATGTTGGTTCAAATCCTCGGATACACATACAACGCGCAGCATTTTGGCGTCCTTGTGTTGACATTATCGGAGCACCTTTTCACGGTTTGGAGACGAAGCCTGTGGAAAGGAACTTGGATTCTCCGTTTGTTGCTGTCTGCATCGCTCTGGTTTTGCTCTGTTTTTTACGTCGTCAAAATATCAAACGTGCAACCTTATATTGAAGATGCCGCCCGATTTCAAGATGACCATTGTTGGATTGCGAGCTCGTCAATCATATCGGAGACTGCAAATCTCGTCGGCTTTTGTTCCCTTTGTTTTGCTACATGGCAGTCGGTTAAATGTGGTGCACAGGTTGCCAAGAACCAACGCTCAAACGTCCTAGGAATTATGAAAACCCAGATCAAGACCAGGTCAATCTATATGTGCAAAGTTATAAGAGTATTTCTGGACATCTGGGTATTGTTGTTATTATTTCTATTGCTCAATGCTGTCCTTCCACTAGAGATGCCTTCCCATTTGGGTCTAAACTGCGGCTGGTTTTGCTTTTTAAACAGCCTTTTTACAGCCGTGGCTTTGTGCGTCTACGGTTCAGGCCTCGAGTTGACGGCGGTTCCTCCCGATAGCTTCTGTGACTGGAGAAATATTTGTCTCAGCACAATAAACATACACAATACATAGTGTGATTAGTGGGAAAGAGATTAAAGAAGCATTTTAAAGGTATATAGGAGGATTTTCACGAAGTTTAGGAAAGAACCACCCTCTCCACTTTTTGAACCAAACTCCCTGGTCTTATTTGACGAGCACATATCTCCAGAATGATTGACAATTGGGAGGACCACTAGTCTTGATGATCCACCCGGAAGTAGAAAGCCCTCCTATATACCTTTAACATAGGAGCTACATTTTTCTATTTCACTTTTGAAAGATTGATATGTGTAGTTACAGATGATATGACAAACACGTGACCTCGAGATGTGGTGGGGAAAAACACACAGATCCTTACTGTGAGGGCTTTTCTTTGTAGACATTATAGGAAATTGTTTGGGTATGAACAAGATATTTGTATGTGTACATTTGGACCTCTCCACCACCTACAAGCAAGGCACTTTTTTCCGGTCGAGCACCACGGCCTCGGATTCGGAGTTGCTGATCTTCATCCCATTCATGTTTATCACACGTTTTTGTTATTTTGTTTTTCTGGTCCGCAGGCTGATGTTTGTGTCAAGAGTTCTAATTATATATTTATTATTATTATTAGACCTGCTTTGGTTTTGTGTTGTTGCTATATTCCTATAGAAATATATAATTGTGTATTTTCTAGATAACCATTGTGCTGCACAATCTAGATTCCTGTTCAAAGTTCAGGTGGAAAATTCTAATTTCAGGGAAAATGAAAATCTATTTTGTTCTAAATATATATACACGACTGGGCTTGTATTTTCCAATAGCAAAACCGTAAAAATGCATGAATATGAAGAGAAATATTACCTTATTTAGGCTCATATCCGCCCATTTTTGACATTTGCAGTTATTGTTGTATTTCTACGCCTGTTTTCTAAATACAAGGATTCCCACTTTCACATAATGTGGACCAAATTCATTTTCATTGTAATAATTCAAAAAGGTCAACTGTGTCTTGAGTGTGAATGTTTTTTACTTTGCGGAACCACGAAAAATCACATCATTTTATGTTTGTGAAGGTAATGGTTCGATCTAAATAATTGTAGTATTTTCTTTTCTCTCACTTAAATAGATTTATGACTCGATTCATCTCACAGCCCGAGCTTAAACGGGAAAGTTGCAGTTTCAGTTTGCCAAAATTGTGAGACTTTTGGCTTATAAATTGCTGATGCAGACTGGCGATTTTTATCTATGGTACGTCTTACTCTATATCGTCTTTCTAATATCACTAGTTTCGGTCAAAGCAGTAGCATCATGGACCACTCTGTTACTCCGGTACTTGCTCTATTTCCGTCACTGAACGGACATGTACTTGGCCATTTCATTTGTAATAACACAATACTCAATATGTCATAGTAACGACAACATAATAGTCTGCTTTCATTTTCATATGTATTTAGGGTTAGTGAAAGGGTTATTAAAGGGGAATCAGGCTACTTTTTATGTGGCAAAATGTTGATATTTTTGCGTTTTTGACCTAGTCATGACCAGGTGTCTGTAAGAGTGGTCAGCATGGTGTCTTCACTTTGGACCAGGGTTGTGTCTACAGAGCTCCAGGATCAAGCGTTGTTGGCGCAGGGGTCTGACAGCAAAGAAAATCTCCCAAACATTTGATCCTATAGCATTTTAGAGATGAAAGTAAAGGCACCAGGCTGACCACTCATACAGCCCCACTTTTTTTCCACATAAAAAGTCGCATGAGCTCCTTTAATGGATGTGCTGGTATGTATAGATTAACCCTGCGACATAACCGTACTCAAAAATCACGAGCCACACACAAGTAATTTTGACACTACAGAGGTTTACTTGAATTTGATCCAAGTTCATTGTCTCTATACAGGGTTTTTATTTACAAGATCTGAAATCGAGGAGAGGGGAGGCGAGAAGAAGAACAGAAAAAACAAACACTAGTTTTACAACTGAGGTATTGGCTAAAAGCATTTACACGTTTGTCATTTTTACTAGTAAATATGAATAATGAGAAACACTTACAGATGCAGGTGTACTCTGCTTTTTAAAAAACATCTTTTCCATATCACAACATGAGGTAGGAGAACCGTGTCTCGATTTCATGCAAGAACAAAAGTCTCGTAGTATAAGTATTGGCAACGAACTATGCAATGGTCATATATGGACTGCACTGCAAGATAAAACAGCATCGGGGAGTTCATGAACCAATTTCCTCTGTCTAGACGTGTTCAAAATGATGCACCTAATATTAGTAAGGAAGCAGTGATCACTGATTTTGATAAGATTAAAAATTTGACAACAGCATGTAGCACCCTTAAAAGAAATCCACCTTAAGTTTAGAAAGAAATGGCTGTTAGCTGATTTCCATATATTCAAATGTACAGGGAGATCCTCATACAAGCTTCAGATTCACAACTTGTAAGTTAAAGAGAAAAGTATGCAGCATTTTTTGAACATCACACAATAAAGTTGTCAATTGAAAATATATAAAATTGGTTTTTGATAAATATTTGAGGGTTGAAGCCACTGATCACTGCGCTCAGACGTCTTCCTCATGGCAAATTTGAAACAGTGCCCTCTAGTGTGCGAGATGCGAATAACGCCCGCAAGCCAAACGCAGTATCATGATATGGATAGAGGAAATGAAATTAATACTGGTTATGTTTTGAGTGCATTTAGTGAAACACAGGTTGCAGCCACAATAATAACAATAGTCTTTCCCTTTGAGCCGCTGCGTTTGTGTCAAAATGTTAGACAAATATATTCTTCAGTCGTAGTAGGCTACATGAAAATCCATCCATCAGAATGAAAAATTACACGTCAATGTCCAAGATTCATGCACTTTCGCCATGTCGCTTGTGCGTTAAGTGGGACGTCATTTATTTTACAATAGATTTGCAAAGAGAGTGGCCCTTGTGACACAAAAAGGGGGTTAGCAAAAACATGCAAAAACATTTTTTGTCCAATGTGTCTCTTTCCAAAATACATTTTCTTAAACAAATGTCTTTCGAAAATGTTCACAAGAGCTTACATTACACATGAATCAGTCCATTACAAAGTTTAGTCAAAATTGGGGAAATGTGTGTAACAAAGCAATATTCCTATTTTCCTAGTTAGTCCTGTCTTATGGATCATGCTTTTTCAATCACTCCCCTGTTCATTCACGCAAGTCATTTCTGCAAAAAAACTAAACAAAACATAAAACAAGCCCGTCGCTTGAAGCCTTAAACTGTCCCAAATGAATTAACCTTTTGAAGATCAACAGTTAATATATTAATAAGAATGACTACGGTATTTACAAAGTGAATATAAATCTTTAGTTTTATACGTTAAATATTTTTCTTTCATAACTTTTCAACCATAGAGCGAACATATGTGGTAGTTCTGGAGTTCCGCTAGTTTCCTCCTTAGCCTGGTCTTCCTAATATGGTAAAGGGAAGTAGTAGTAATGCATCAGTGTTGTAGGGTGGAGCACAGTGGAATGTCTTTTCATTTGCATTTTCTTTGAGCAGATGCATATAAATCTTAAGCTAAGGCCCAATCCCTGTCTCTCTCTCTATCTATTTATCTATCAATCTCTCTCGCGTTCTCTCTTTTTAAAACAATTATTTACACACATTTGCAAACAGGGATCTCCTTAGTGGCAATAGAAAGAAAGCGCTTCTTAAGTCTGGCAACTGGTGCGGCCAAACGTCCCCTCCGCTCTCCTCCTCTGGCCGGACAGCAACTTGGCAACTTGGAGATAAGATTGAAGTCAAATGTATAGGGTTGCACAATATACATACAGCTATAGTTAAAATATACATAGCTTTCATTTTTCCTCTCTTTAAAACCCAAATAAAACCCTAAATACTACAAAATGACATGCAATTTTTTTGAATGTATTTTTAACATAGTCTCAGTGGCTTTGCTTTTGCTTTGATTTGGTCAGAGGTATTAAAAGATTCTTATTTGATGGATATAAACAACTAAACTATTCGTCAAGCGTTTTGATACAATTATTTCACACACTGGAGCGATTGTTGCTGGAAATGTGGTTGGACATAGTTATTCCAATCTAACAGTGCTGTCATGACTGTATTTCTGATGGATTGACTGCTATACTATTTTTCTAAAGAACAGTGATTTTCTTTCAAAACAAGTGACCCCAAACTTTTGAACCGACGTTACAAGATGACACCACTAGTCCCAACCCGATCTTATGTTTTCCTCTTTTGTGCAGCCTCCTCCATATACAGTGCATGCCAAAGCCGCATAGCCTTACAATAACAACAACAGTGTGCCCTCATTCTGACAACCCAGAACAAAGCCAGTGGGGAGAAAAAAAAAAAAAAGAGCCTCCTCCATGGTACCCCTCGCGTCCGGGCCACCCACCCAGCCCTTTGCAGCCCGTGGCCCCCCGAAAGCACCCCTCAAAATCCCTCTTCCTCTTCGGGCTATTTGTTCACTCATGCAGTAGAAGAAGTAGCAGCAGTCGCATGAAAGCTAGCAAAGCCTGGGCTAAACTGTACATGCTCCCCAATATTAAAAAAACTACAGAGAAATGTGTTTTTGGTAAGAGCTTTTCCCATTCCTGACTCCTGGTTAAGATCACATCTATATTTTACAGTCTAGTTAACCAATGAAGCCACTTTTCTTGCTCGTAACTCTCTATATTTACAATATGCTGATCCAAAATCCCACTCATCCATTAGAAAACACTACAGAACTTCTCTTCCACGGACTAGCGTTGACGTCGCCAAATGCGGTTCTATGTGCGGTCATGTAACGCTGTGTTGTGGGCTTTTCGTCTTCTTGGAAAAGCAACTGCAACTCCAGCCCAGCCCAGCTCAGACCTCGCCTCCTCCTCCTCCTCCTCCCCCCAAAGTCCAGACGCATTCCTAAAGGGGCGACTGAGACTGGCCCTATAATAAGAGCACGATGCGTTGCGTGTCTGGGGCTGGACGTGAAAACTGTGGCAAAGTGGATTTATGAGTCGATAACAAAAAAGGAAAATAGTTGCTGTATGTCGATCTATAAGGCGGCAGAATGGATTCAGCTTTTACATGGTTAAGTCCTGGCAGAATATCCATTTGTCAGTCACACAACCCATTCATATAAAAGGAGAAATATTACGCATTATTTTGGGCACTTAAAAATGATAATTAGACTATTAACTCTGTCGTTTCATGTTTTATAATGTTAAATAATATCTATCAAGGGTAAATCATGCTATCAACCTGTAACTCCTTCAGCTAGATTGGATATTATATTTTTTTAACAAATTTGAAAATTACCAGCTGCAAACACAGCCACGCTATTTTAAAATACGTCATTCCACTTTAAGTTTCTTGAGGCAGAAACTTAAAGGTAATACTTTAAAAGCTGAAAACTGAGCTCATAGTGATACAATGACATCATACAACTACAGGAGTGAGGGCGGAGCTTTTAGACGGAGTTACATGTTTGTGCCAGAAGTTCCTGGCTCAATTTCAGGCTCAAAAAATCCTCTATAATCTAGTTTTGAGCGATACATGGAGCCAATTTTGCCAATGAAAAACCATAAAAGAGAGATAGACTACGTTGAAAACAGCGTCCTCACTTGTACAGCTGTAGCTTTTGTTTTGTGCAACCCTTTTTAGCTCGAGTGAATGACATTGCTAGTAATGGATGGCACATACACAGAGGCGTGTTTCAGACGACGTTCAGAAGAGAGAGGAGGAGACCAACGTTAGCCTTGGCCAGACAGACCGTTTTGCAATAGCTACCATGTGGAACAACACATCACACTTCAAGTTCATTGTCACTATTGGCATATATTTATGAGGTTCATGACATTTGCAAAAAAAAAAAAATAATGTATACAGTTAAGGTCTATTACGTCTTCTATAATAGATTTTCTACTTTTTCTCTGTGTTTTTAGTAGCTGGTGTTTTGAGATTCCACACATGGGGGGCACAACAGTCGGCGTCTTCAGAACGTCCGTATGCGTTTGTCCGCCATCCGCTGCGCTAGGTAGTAGCATAACTTGAAGCCGCAGAAAGTCTTTTGAGCTTCGTAAGTCCACAAGTTCGTAAGCTCAGAGTGAATACAAAGTTGACGGTGGATGGGTGTGAGGGAGGGTGATAAGGGTAGAATTGGTCACGTTTCGGACCAAATTCCTGTCTTCACAAAGAAGCAGCAGCAGCAGTCAGTTCAGATAAAAACTATAAATAAAAGCAAAACAAAAAAGAAACATGCCCAAAAAATATTTAAATACTGTTATAGTAATAGGAGCAAATGATGGGTAATAATGAAAACATTTCGTAAAAGTGGGGTTAAATTACAAAAGAAAGAGTCAGTCCTACATTGAAATAAAAAGGAGGGGGTTTGGGTGGGGGGAGGGAGGGGGCAGAGTTTCTTGGCGGGAAATTGGTGAGAGGCGCCTCTCATGGGGTGGTACAGTTAAGCCCGAAATTATTCACACTGGTTGAATACTGGATGCATCTGTTGAGCCCACAGTGACTCCAGACATGGTGGAAAATACAGACTTTCAAGATATGGCAAATAGTCACGCACTTATCACGTGCCAAAGCTGTTTTTTCCAATAATTGGTCTGGTCCACGTGCTTTTGCAACTGTTTTTGGCCACGGTTTTGCATAGATTCCTTTATTCTCGAGGCTAAAATGATTTCTTTTCATTTGAATTGACCACAGAGGCTAGGGTGACCACCTGCCCCTTCCCGTTGTCCATTGTCCCACATAGAAAAAACTCTTTGAACTCATGCCTTGTGAATGATATGAAAATATATATATATATCTATATATATTTTTTATTTACACGCACAACTGTCTTGTGTTGTTATATGAAGGGACTTGATGAGTATGGTTTTATAACTGTATTTTTCTGAAGTTCTTGAGGTGGGTATTATATTGTTTTGTTTTGAATGTATACAAAATGTGACGAGAGAATAATGTTGTCAAACAAACTGAAACGATCAGTCTTTTAAAAATGCATGTAGCGTCTAAAAAACATGCATGGCTCGCTGGCACTTTTGAACACATTTGACTCATGTGTTAATTATTATTCATGTGATCATGTGAATATCTCTCACGCCTAATCACTACGTCCCACCAGCATCTTTCTGTGTTGTAATTCTATCATCTCTATAGCTCTGTCTTATGAAACATAAAAAATTATGTTTGATTTTGTATAGTATAGTATAGTATAGTAATAAAAAAACTAAAGGTTGTCCTTTGCACCAAATCTCTCTACTTTCACAAACTCAACTTTTTTTTCTACTTGAGGTGATCACCCTAACACACTTTCATGGCCTTGGTCACTTAAAGTCTTGACAAGTCGCACCCTTTCTCTGTGCTAGTTCAGAGTGTGAATAGGCTCGGGCTTGGCTGTACGGGCTGTGGCCTCTGCTCTACTTGTGGTGCTCTGAGAGGGAGGCGTTGATGGGGGACAGGGAGTGGAGAGGTCCTGTTGAGGGGGTGAGCGGAGGGGAAGGGCTGCCCCCCAGAGCAGAGCTGGAGCTATGGCTCATCTGCTGCTTGAGTTGGCTGATTGTACGCTCCAGTTTCTCGCGGGCTTCCCTCTCGCGGCGCAGCTCGTCCTGCAGCTCCTGCCGGTCAGACTCGGCACGCTCCAGACGCTGACGCAACTCGGATAACTGCGGAGAGAGGAGACAGAGGTCAACGTCAACACGGGAGGTCAACACAGGAGCCTTTACTAGGGCTAAAAAGACGACGTTGTGCTTTGGACTGCTGTTTATATAAACTGTGGTTGTGTCCTTAGGCAAGATACTTCACCCACATTGCCTAGAAAGAGTCTGGTGTGTGTGTGTGTGTGAATGGTCGGTGGTGGTCTATGGCACATCCTGGTTGCCTCGCTTCTGTCAGTGTGCCCCAGGGCAGCTGTGGCTACTGTAGTAGTTTATCACCACTGGGTTTGGAGTGAATGAATAATGACATGTGAAGTGTCTTTGAGTGTCCAAAAAGCGCTGTACAAAACCAATGAATTATTATTGTTATTTACCTTTTTAATTTCAACTGTTTGAACTTGTACTTAATATTTGTGACACCAGCTGATTGCCTATATTGATGATTGATTCTATATTTTTCAACTTTATAAATATTTGCATTGATCTTTAACACATTATTACGTAATGAATGATGATAAGTGAGAGCAAGTGATAATACTGAAGAAACTACCGTTTTGTGTTAGCATTTCTCATTTGTTTTTGCAGAGTTTTATTAGTATTATTAGTTGAGCAGTGGTCATATTTCAGTCGCTAGAACACCATACGAACCACTACAAAAAAATGAAAAACCGTGATAAGATCTGGTCACTTTATCTATTCTTACTCATGGTTCAGAACAAAATGAGCCCGGAAAGATAGATCTGGCGCTTATCAAAATACATTTTTGATGCAAACACAATCGCAAGTTGATGCTCTCAACGTGATTTTGAGTTTTGAAAGTTGATTACGGTGCCATCTACCCACTGTTGAAGCAGTCAACAAGTCAAAAACAGCACCATATACATTTGCACTCCTGAGAAAATAAGTGGTACTGGAGCATATGTGGCAGCGTGTGGCTCGTATGATGTTTAATGCCAAGAACGATGTGTTAGGAGGAGTCTAATTACACTCTGTGGGGGAGCTCTGTGGCTCAGGTCTCGAGCCAAAATATCACAAGATCAAAATCACTCAACGAACGAACGGGTTTCAAACCGCGGTGTAGTTGGTTGTGAATCTCTGCTCTGAGTTGAGGCTTTTTATAGCTCCTTTCCTGCGCCTGTTTAGGTTCAGACCAGGTTCATGCAATTCAAGATGGTAAGAGCGGTATAGAATAGATGTATTATCCTTGCTAATACTAATAAAGGTAGCACCAGAGCCTGCCAGTACCACATTCTCTAGTTTGGTATGTCCTGGTACCTGTGCAGTGTAGTGCGCCTCCTGTTGCCGCTGCGTGCCGGGCTCACACGCACAGCCCTGTTGTCGGAGCTGCTCCAGTCGGCTCTCCAGCTCGTGCTGCTCTTGTCGGGCGTGGGACAGCTGCCTGGCCTGCTCGCTGTGCACGGCCTCCAGCTCCGACCGCAGCTCTCTCTGCTCCGCACTCAGCTCCCTCAGACGGGCCGCCTCGCCTCCACGCAAGGCCTCCAACTCCTGTGCAGAGGGTGAGGGTGAGGATGCGGCAAACCGGGACATGATCTTCTTATGGACCAATGGTTCTTTGTGTTTTTGTTTTTATTATTATAATATATTATTATATTATGTTATATTATTATTATTATATATTGTATGTCTCGTGCTTGAACTGTTTGATTCTCGGATTTGTGTTGGTGATTTCAATGGTTTTGTTAAGTCCCCCGAGATAACTACTGTTGTGATTTAGGGCTATACAAGAATAAATTGGAAGATTGTATAATTCAATACAAATCATAAGCACTGTTTCCACCAACCCTTCTTAGCCCTATTCTACTCAGCCCCGATTAGGAGCGTTTCCATCAGCCCTGTTTAACCAGAGCTAGGTACTATTTTAGTACCTGCTTGGTACTAAAGTGTTCTAACGAATTGTGATTGGCCATAGTGCTGCCGTTGTTTCCAATGAATTTCTGTGGATACTAGATTGTCGTGGGTAGGTCTCTAGGCGTAACACAAGGTAGAATAGAGCGGAGTAGAGTAAGGCCAATTAGGACTCAATTTTTTTACACGAAACAGGTAGCATAGCCAGAGCTACAATAATAATGTCTTGAAAACACTCACTGTGTTAGAACAAAAGCCCAAAAGTGAATATCTGTTGTTCACAAACACACGTCTGACTGAGTTTGAGTGGTTTTGTAACAAAAAAAGGGAAACACTTTCAATCTCAAGACGTGGAAAGCTTGTTGAGTCATACCCCAAAAGGCTGCTGTGATTTTTGGTTTTAAATATATATCTAATGATATAATGTATCATTCAGTTTTCACTTTACAGTTGCCCATTACTTTGTAGTGGTCTATCAAAATAATCTAATAAATGTTTGTGGTTTTAAACCATGACAAAATGTGCAAAAGTTCTCGTTTTATAAGTAATGTCACAACACTGTTAGTGCACTGTTTTGAATCCTCATTTTGGGCTTTTGTTGACCCACTTCTACAGCGCACATTAGCATGGACATGCAGGGTTGTGTCCCGCCCACTCTCTCACCATCTCCAGCTGCAGTTGTTTGTGCAGCGTGGCGTTGAGTTTCTCCTGCTGCCTGCCGTACATCTGCATGATTTCCACCACGATCCGGTCCTTGTCGTCTTCAGGACCCCCCGCGGAGCCGCAGCCCGTTAAGTCCTTGGGCTCAGTTTGCTCCGTGTGAGGGGATGATGAAGAGGATGTGGGGGGGAGAGGAGGAGGAGCAGGAGGAGGGGAGCGGCTGGCGCTGCGCTTCTTACAACTGCTGCTGGTCTCCATGGAAACTGCTTGGGCCGCCTGGCGTTCCCTGTCTGCCGAAAAGACCTGAGACTTGCACTCGTCGGGAGACACGATCGGTGCGGGAGGCGATGCGTGCAGGTCTGAGGAGACACAAGATTAGAGAATCACTGATCACTGTAATCACAAATGAGATTTTCATGGAGACAAACAAACTTTACTATTATTCTTAAACACCAAAACAATGACTCCATCCCTCATGATTAAAAAAGTCTGTAAACATGAATATTGGCTGTACCAATAGTTATCCCTATTAAAGCTGGATTCAAACCCAGCTTTCAAACCCCAAAGAATTGAAGTAACAGCTTTCACATGCATGTCACATCATTCACACATCTGATTCTGACAGAAAAGTGAAAAGGAGGACCACCCCAAATCAGCCAATTAGCTCTCAACCCAATAGAGTCAAATAATGAGTCACAGGGTAATAATGACTCATCGTTCTATGCAAAAGATAAGCTGTTTTCTAATAAGATAAAACAGCGTGTTGTGGTCGTGTGATTTGTTCACAACAAAATACTTTTACAAGACTCTTGCTATTGTACAAACTGCATGTGTTATTTATGAGAAAGGAAAAGTTAGGTAGCCCAGCTTTAAGCAAGGTGATGCATCATACGAGTAAAAAACCCAAAGGTATCCCAAATCTTTATACGAGCATTATTTGGCGAGCGAGTTTCTGTTTTCTACTTCTTACGTCTGTTGTGTGTTGAAAGTTGACATATATAAATAGTACACACATGATTATTCAAGAAAATTCACATTTTGTCCATGATTGAATGTGCCTCATTTCCATTTCCACCGAGCTCAGAGTTCAGCCGTGAAAACTAAAGCCAAGCTGTCGCCTACGCGCGCTGACACCCGCTCACGCGCGCTCCGGCTCCGCATGGCAACAGGCAGCTCACCAAGCACCGAACATCGCCCACAAATCCTCCGTGTGGCGCAGACAGCGGAGACAGGCGTGTGGGAGCTCTCTGCGTGGGCCCAGCCTTTGTTCAAACTTTAAAGATGCAGGCAGATCAAACCGCAAAAAATCCGCTGTCGTAAGTGTGCGTTTAAAACTGGGGTACGTAACTATCAATCCATAAACAAGCAGATGTGACTTCAAATCCGTCAAACTAGTTCCTGGCTCTAAACTAGTTGGTTTCTATCACTAGGTTTCACATGTATGTTTGGACTTCTGTCACAGCCAATCAGCTCTCAAATAGCCCTGTGAGTCAAATAGTGACTTACAGGGCTATTTCCTACGCGTAAGATAGGATGAAAACAGCCTATCAAAGGTCTGGTTTGTTCACAGAATTTTTACTTTTACAAGACTATCTCGGTTGGGGGAAACAAAATGTATTATTTACTATGTGTCCCCGCTTTCAGACCGTAGACAAGCCAAGCAAACTGAAATCTATTTGAAAAAACTGAAATTGAAAGTAAATAATTACATTTATTAATTTTGTTCACTCTAAACTCTCCAAACACCATATTTTAAAGATGGTTAAAATCACTATGCAGTCTTATGTTCATTGCATGTTGTAAGTATTTTATTTTTTATCAAGTTGCATTCAGTAATGTTTATATTCTTCGCTGCTATTCTTTGCCTTTTTCATAGATGTAAATGAACTTTTTTGGGAGGAATTGATACTTTATAAGGAAGATGTTTACGATGAGGACAAAAAGTCACAGCAGCTTTCAATTCTCGTTCCTTTATCAAGACTTTAGATCCACGCAGAGACTTTGGATGAGGAAAATAACGTATTTCTTTCGACTTTATTTTAAAACAAAAGCAATGTTGCTGCGATAACGAAGCCTACGGTTGATGGTGAGAGACTGCAGCTCGTCTGGCACCAGCACAGACCCATTACTCACACATCCACCGCTCTGCACCTGCGGTAAAAATACCTTTGAGTCACAGGAAACACTCAGGCCAGAGGAAAAACAAGACGGAGGAGAGAATGGGTTTGAAAATTAGTGTGGAATAAGTGGATTCAAGTTTATGTAAAAAATAACATCATATTCAAAAATGAGACATTGTGTGAGGGATGTGTCAGATTTTACTGTACTGTATTTTAAAGAGACCCAGAAATGGATTAAGGGGAAGAAAATTCATGGATGTATGGATGGAATTTTATATAAGTCTTTATTGTTCTGTATTCAAACAACCTAGCTCTTGTTTCTGAACTAATTATTTCAATGTGACACAAAGTCCATTCTCTCAAAATCTATAGGGAACACCAAGTTGCTATTTTGGTTACTTTATTGTGTCTTTTTCATTACCGGTAGTTTGCTTTTTCTTTCACGTTACAGATACAACATCCTTTTCTTCCAAACATTTGCTTATACATGAAATATCTGACGTTTGTTAAAATATGAAATAGAATCCTTTGTCAATGGACTAAGATTCCATCAATTCAAATCAAGAACGTGGTCATAATTCTAGTCATTTTAACATATTTTGGGTGTAAATCTCTCCCTAGAGTGTGAGATTAACTGCTGGAAATCTTTGTACTCGTGCGTGAAGCCGCTCAGACTTATTTTTATGATAGAAAAAGTTCACTATTCATGCGTTTCAGATTCATGTTCAAAATTGACAATTAAAAGGTATAATTTTTTGGTTTTTCCCTTTCGCTGAGAACAGAGCGAGATTTTCATCACTTTCAAACCCATGTCAGCCCCTATTTTCAGAAACTCTAAAGAGTGCAGGAAAGCAGGTGATTTTCGAGGCTTTTAGGCAGTGATTTGGAGCATTATGGTGACAAGGCGTAATGGGTGCACCACAATCTCTCTTCTTATGCTCTGGTATAATCAGTGACGAGTTCATGTGGGCTTTCGATGCACGTAAAACCACATCCGGGAGGAGAAAGAGTGAAGAGCTCCATCAATACTGACGGCTTGAGAGTCGTTAGTTGAAGGTCACTGAATTATGAGCCGAGGACTGCAGCCTTCCATGTTAATGCTACAGTAGGAGTCCTCGTTATTCTTTATTATCAACATTTTTCTTACATGGAGTTGTCCACAGTACGTATCCACAACACTACAGAAGCTACATCTGGAGCAGCGCTCAGGAAAGACTGATTTAAATGTTTTCCCATTTCTGTTTGTTTTTTTGTACAGATTGTCATTTTCAAGGAAGGTTACACTTCTGCATTTGACCCATCCTCCAGCCTCTGTCAGGACCAGTGGTCGCCCAAGTACAGCACCCAGGAGGATTTGACTTATTATAAAGGTTTTTCAACCTACAGGCTAAGAGGTTTTATCCAAGTTCAAAAGGTGGGACCTTCTTGCTGCGACTCAGGCGGTGGCATTTTACTTGATTTTTATGTTATGGCCTGGTTGTGTTCATGCTCATGTGGTCATTTTTATTTTAAACAAATATTTTATTCTTTTAAAACAAAACAAAAAGAAAAAAACGTTGGAAAAAAATAATACAGATTTGCTAGGGCACTGAAGTCTTATTAAAATCTGAACTGAATATTAAAGACTAATAAATGACGACTAGATTAAGGGTCATTATTGGTTCTTTATTAAAATGTAATCATTGATGGAATTATCACAAGTCAGTCCTAGAGAGTGTTTTGTTTACAGATGTCTGAACAGGATACACAGCGTTCATACTTAACAAGACCCCAGGGACAACAGATGCCATCTTCTCAGGAAATTATAGCACCTAAATAATTACAGCCTTTGTGATCGGATAATTGCGAACCTTCGACGGGTAATTGCAGTCTAGGGTTGGGCAATATCTAAGAAATAATATATATAGATTTCATTTAAAAAGGTGCATTCCTCAACTGTCCACCCTTTTTGCTGAGGTCCATATGAATGTTATAAATCCATCTAAACTGTATACAGTTTGATATTTAACTTGTGACTTTTCTCAGCTAAGTTTTGGTTTCAAGATAGATTTGAAGTTTCTTAATACTTCTCAATCCATTTTGGACTTCAGGGAGCTTGCATTACTTTATGTTGAGTTTAAAAAAAGGGATATTAGCACAGTTGCACTTACATTCTGCTCTTATGTATTGAACTATACTCCACACATCCATCGACGTGTTTGGCTGCAGCCCTTTGTAGCGTGTTATAGTGATGTATGTGAGGATGTTTACTGTGAGCGCGATGTAGCTGCCTCCCACGGATCTGACCTCTGTCTCCTCCTCTCACGGCGCAGGACTTTACGGGCCGCGGTATTTATAGGAGACATGTGTCAAAACCGCAGAGGGCTTCCTGTTGTGTGGCCCTGTTCATAGGTCGAGTGCTTAAAAGAATCTTCATAAAGACTTTTATTGACGCGAGTAGAAGCCTCTCCCTTATTTGCATATGCTTCATTAGCACTAGATATGTTTGACTTATTTTACCTTTTCTTTGGGAAAGCTTTTAACGCTGGAGCACCTAACCCGTTTCTGCTCCAGGAGGAGTCTAGTTTAAGTAATACTTTACAAACACTTTTTTCTTACAGTGGAAATTAATGTTATGTTGCTGTTTAGTCCCACTTATTTTTGGAAAATGTTAAACTTTGAAATATCCTTTTTGTTAGACAGTTACTATTCGTTAGAAAGATTAGTTGAATGAGTGAATGTATGAGCCTATTTTGTACCTGTTGTTAATAAAGAAAAACAGAAAAACTTTGCAAACAAATCAGTACCACATAAACTTATTTACAAGTGAAAACTAGAGATATTAGAGAACCAAACAGATAATGGATTTGTATTAGTTATTTTTTGTATGCAGTCTCTGCTACAGATCCCCTGATATGTTTGGATAAAATTGGATATAATTATTAGGACTGTCGATCTTTAGTATCTTTAGTTCTATAGTCAATTCAAATTAGTGGCTCCAAAGTTTGTGATTTATATTACAATAAATTTAATGTAAAAACTGCAAAAAAAAAAATTAGATTTAGGGCAAAATAACTGAAGCCAACTCTTTAACTTCGATACCAGATCAAACTATCAGTTCACATGTTTATGTCTTTCACTTAGTATTTCAGTGATTGCATTAAATTGTTTTTCCATTAAATTTAAGTTTGAGAGTGCAGATTGGATCAGGTATGTAATCATATTTAGAGCCTTTTCCACGCCTCTCTTTTAGTTCATGAATCAATCTCCTGGGCTTTTGTCTGGTCGACCGAAGGCTCGTCCTGTGGTCTCAAACATGTAAATCTGCTTATTTTGTGTCATTCACTCTCTGAAGGGACTGAGCTCAGCGTCACAATAACAAATCAATGTTTAAAGATCGCACAGCGTACAACAAGTTACAGCTGGATAATCACAGGTCGTTACTGTGATGCAACTTTGGTGTTGATAAAAAGAAGGCGTTTAAACAGGAAAAGGAACATCTGTGATTATACAGCTGTAACAAGTTGTTTGCTGCGTGTTCAATAAATATACATATCGATTTTCTTTGGCCATGAGCCTCTAGAGCTAAAAAGAAAGTTACCATGATTTGTAATCCTGGAACTGTTATAAAGGCAAGTGTGTGGCAGAACCAGAAATCTGTTTATTGCCCTTATAAGTAACAGGAAGTCTCAAACTAGGAATTTGCTTTGGCTCAAGGTGCAAACAAGTTATAAAAGTAAAAATAGATATACAGCATGCATAAAAAAATCGACCAACTCCATTAAACTGCTTGTATTTTTAAGTTATTTTACACATGAATACGTTGTGTTGCTGTAGTGAGGAAAGATAAATCACAATCAAATCACATTGTTTGTCGTAGCATATAGTGAATCGCAAAGACTGTAATTTTTTAAGTTCTTTCCACAAAAATAGTAGTCTAAAGATAAGCAAAAAAATGGATGGATTTTTCTTGGTGTTTTTAAAAATAGTCTTTTGTGTGAGTTTTGCTTTAATTTTCCAATATTTTATTATTCCTCTAAAAAGCTGCCAACGCAAAGTATGTCAAGCTGCATTTACTGAACTGTGCTTTATCAATACATTTTGACTGATTTGATTGTTGACGGGCAGGAGCATGATTTTTCACAATTTACGTAAGCCTATAAGAATATGTGAAACTACACAAATTAAACTTACTTTTTTAGAACATGGAATGGAATAGAACAATCTTGCCAAAATGTTGCGGCACTTACATTGCGTGCGTTGATATTTTATATGCATTTTTTTATATGTATATTTTTCTCTTTTTTTATAACTTTTGTGCATGTGAAGTAGATCAGGCAGCTAGTGTTGTTGTAAATGGGATAAAGCTGAAGTTGATACTGACCCATAGGCGGCTCGTCGTGGCCCAGGACCCTGCGGCTGTAGTGGTGCTTCAGCAGAGCTCCTAACATCTCCGGACTCATCTCCGCCTCCCGCCGCAGAGACACGTTTGGAGCCACCATCTTATCGTAGGTGTACAAGAAGTAACTGCAGAGAACACATAAAAAACTGCAAATTAGCGCATAGATTTCTCTAACTTGTATTGTGTTCTTCAATTAGAAAACATCAATGAAACCTTGATTTAATCTTGTGTCGTCTTTTGAAGTAGTGCTTGCCAAATGGAAGGTTGAACCAATTTCACCAGTTTCATAAATGAACGTGGGCCATTGTTAAAACGAGACATGCTGCTGGCATAATGGACTCTCGGTGACATAATTTTCGGAAAACGTATTGACTTGCATTGTGCAAGGACTTCCCAAAAGCTAAATTGGATCCATTATGGGAAATTTCAACCCCATTTGCCAACAAAGAAAGTGCACAAAAGCCAAACTAATTGCCCTAGTTTACCTATTAAGGCCAAAATGTGACCCAAAATGATAGAATTTGGAGATTAAAGACATACAATGTTCAATTCGGGCGTTCTGCTCTCCCAAAATTTCATCCACTGAGCGGCGCTGTGATCAAAAAATGACACCGTTTGTTGCCCAGTTCACTTCCGGTTGATTTCATACAATGGCGAATATGGCTCACGAAAACAACAAACGATTGACAGTGCCTGAATTGCGTGAAAGGTTGAAGCGAAAGGGTATTTGCAGTGTGGGAAAACGAAAGGAGGAATTGTTGTTGCTAGTTCAACGAGCGGATGGTGTTTATGAAGATTTAGAAGAAGATGACAGCGAGCAGAGTGAACGAAAACGGCTGTGTGTGCGAGTGACAGATGGTAACAATGAGAATGAAGTTCAGCTAAGAGGGAAGAATGTGAATTGGACGGATGATTTGCGCGATATGCCACTAGTTAGAGACGGGAATGTATTTGCATACAGAAAATGACGAAAACACTCAACCATTTAGAGAAAATGCGCCGGGCAGAGAGAACCGGAAGTTGCGAAGGCAAGTGTTACCCATAATGCAACGCAAAATTCAGTCGCTCCCCCGCCCATCGGATGGAATTTTGGGAGAGCAGAACGCCCGAATTGCTGGTGCTGATGGCTCTCGACACCATGTAGTAGTCTAGTTTATTCTATTTCTATGTTGTACCTTTGATTAGTGTAGGATTAATTTGGTTTATGAATGATATTTGCATCAATATAAAGGCCATGAAATCCCACTAACACTAAATGTATTCGAATGCCAGTATTCATTTAGCATAGCCTGTACATAAAAGTAGACAATTCTAACCCCCGCTGCTGAATGATGTACAATAGGGATGAAGTTTTGCTCCAACTGACTCTGGCTCCTACCGACTTGTGTTGAAAAGTAAACTCCTCTATCTCAGGATCCGTTGGCTCCCCATTTTGGACGTAAAAACCCATGGTTTGCACTCTCTACGATCCTGGTCTTAATGTCTTTGTAAATCCCGATATGAGCCATACAAGGATTGATGATTGAGCAATGAGAGGCCTTCATTCGCAGAGAAAGCAACCATCTTAGCAACACATCTCTGCCCCTGTTACGCCCGCGAAGCTAAACCTGTCGGAACAAAAGCCCATAAGAGGAAATTGGCCCCAGCTAACTTGTGTTCAAATGGACTTCTTCCAAATTGGTAAAAGAATTTGACACATTTCTGCAACAAAACTCATTGAAATTCCAATCATTTACACAGAAAATTGCAAGGTGTACAAACAATATATATTCTAATAGTGTACTTTTCGCAGCAGGTAATGGTAGTGAGTCAAGCTTGCACAATGTAGAACATAGATTTTTGTTTGTTATCATCACTTCACAGCCCAAACAGCTTCCTGAACTTTATCGCAAAAAAAATAAATAAATAAAATCCAGGAAGAGGCTACGGCAGCAGATAGCGCCTGAAGTGATGCGCTAAAAGTCAGCCGTCCGCAAACCAGCAGCATTTATCTGCCGTTTTCCTGTGTGTGATGAAGAGGAGAGGAAAAAATAGGCTTGAAGCTCAAAGGCCCTCCCCCACCAGACAGCTGAGAGACTGCAGTGTGAACTGGGTTAAGCATGGCGGCTCAGTGGGGCTGTTCCTGCAAGACACAGCAACACCAAATCTATTTTTTCACCGCCGTTTCCCTGAAGATTGAAGCCGGGCGCTATCGGCTTCGGTGTACGAGTGTAAATCTTGACATGTTTATTGATAACGTGTCAGAGGACGCGTGAGGATCTGCAGCCGATGAATGAATGGGGGTTTGTGAACGTTCACTAGTGATGCAAGATTTGGGAAAAATGCATTATCGAGATTCATGAGATGTGCATTTGTATTTGTATTTGTGATAAAGTGTGTATTTAAACACAACAAGACGAGAAATTTAAAACAGCTAAAACACGAGAGAGCTTTTGTAGAGGTCGAAAGGTTATCATAAGAGGGTTGAGCCAAGTTTTGAAAATCAGATTATAAAACTAGCAGAAAATATTCATTAGGTTCAAAATATACAGAAATGGGACAAAAATTGACCTTTCTGAACAGTGTTAGAATTATTTTATTTGGTTTATTTGGTATGGATCCCCATTCGAGGCCACCAAAGTGACAACTAGTCTTTTTTTACTATTTCAAAAGTCAACACAGGTAAAAACATACAACACAAAAATACAAGAAATTTTGAAATTTTGACCATAATTAACATTAATATATCATAAAAGTATAAAATCATGTGGTATGGTTTAAAAAGGTCGTTTTCCCTTCACTTCTTCGTTCAAAGAGTTTTAAAAGCGACCACTGACGTTCAAAAGTTATAACGTTTATAAGCGATAATTAAATGACTATTATGTTTTCTCCTGAATCTGATAGTTTGCTGTCGGCCTAGTTTCTCGTATTATGAAGGCTATTCAAAATTTACATATTCTCAAAACTAACTAATTTTTTTTTTACATCCATCCATCCTCTTTTAACCCCATTTGACAACAATGAAAGTGCATAAAAGCTAAACTAATTGCCCTAATTTACCAATTAAGGCCATACTACGACCCAAAATGGATGCAAGTAGACGAGGTTATTGCATTTCTATGTTGTGCCTTTGATGAGTGTAGGATTAATCTGGTTTAAAATGTGTCTTTTTATGAATGATATTTGCTTCAATATAAAGGACAAATAGATAAAGGCCATGAAACCCCACTAAAAATTAACATATTTGAATACGAGTACTAATTTGTAAGCATAGACTGACATACAGTCTCGACAAAATAATCCATCCATTTTCTCCCGCTTTATCCGTTGCTGGGTCACGGGGGGCAGCAGTCTAAGCAGAGACGCTATGCTAATCCTTTTTCCGTGTTTTCAATGTAATGCCGCCCTGTATTTGTGTCTGTCACTTTAAACTGATTGAGGAGTATTGATAGTATGGGTACATTGAAATAATTCTTAAGAGCCTGTTGAATTGTCTAATTCTTCAGGCAACAGGAGACATAATTATGACAGATGCCCTACTTGACACATTCCATCTACTCGAGTGCTCGCTTGGACTTGATAATGTGACATATTAAATAAATGAAAAACAAAATGCGCTCGTAACACGCAAATGAGGAAAAGTGCAGTGAATGCCATAATGATTTCAGGTTCTAACAGACATCGGGGCTGCGGAAAAGGGGAATATCGTTGCTCTGGTCTTATACACTGTTATGTGACATCAGCTCATTAAAACTAACCATGTGGGTCGTAACATTGTCTCATGAATATTCTACCTAAATGTAATATATGTTGTAAATCTGTGGTGGTGGTAGTAGTAGTGGTAAAAACTAGTGGTCATAATAGTAGCAGTAATAGAAGTAGAATGATAGTAGTAGTAGTAATAGAAGTAGAATGGTAGTAGTAGTAGTAGTAATAATAGAAGTAGAATGGTAGTAGTAGTAGTAGTAATAGAAGTAGTAGTAGTAGTAGTAGTAGTAGTAGTAGTAGTAGTAGTAGTAGTAGCATGGTAATAACAGTAGCAGTATTGTTGTGTAGTGTTCAGCACTTTGAATTGCCTTGTGTATGAATTGTGCTATATAAATAAACTTGCCTTGCCTAGCAGTAGTAGTAGTAATATTAGTAGCAATGGTAGTAGCAACAAGTAGTCATAATAGAAGTAGTAATAGTCGTAGTGGTGGTAATAGAAGTAGTTGTAGTCTTAGCACTACAGCAGCAGTAGTACTTGGGGTAGAAGTACAGTAGTAGTAGTAGTAGTAGTAGTAGTAGTATAGCAAACATGAAAGTATAATAAGTTCTGAGTGAGAAAAGAAAGTGAAAAGACACCACCCCAAGTATTGATGAGTGAAGCAGAGGGGCCAGCCAGCTCCTTACAGGTATTGATCAAATCTTTTCATAAGATACATTCTCGGACATTTCGCCTCGAAGGAAAACGAGTCAAAGATGTGTGGGTGTTTTTAAAGTTCAGGTTAAACTATTGGAGTGATTTATTCAGAGCTTCCATATGATGTTAAAAAGCCATGTGCAAAACGCCCTTGATAAAGTCTTGAAGCATTTGTGCAGTACCTGGGATGGACGAGGGCTGGGTGTCCGGGCTCCTCCTTAATGTCATTGAAAAGTCGATTAAACACCAGCGAAGGAGGAGTAGATTTCCCCTGCAAGAAATAAAACACCAGATTATTCCGAGACATAGTTTGTGGCACGACAATTCTCAGCTGGAGTCCTGCCTCCTCAAAATGGCAGCTCTCCTTCACTTTTATCGATCGCTGCATACATTTGTTTCTAAATAGATAAATTATCGCAGCAACAGAGAAAACGCATGCGGGCGCAGAGGGGCAAACAGCGGGGAACGGAACGTGGAGACATAATCTAATAAAAGTTAATATATGCGCAGAAAGCGGGATCATCCATCAGGCATCTGCCGAGCACCAGGAGGAGAGGAGCAGGTCTGGGCCAAAGTTAATCATGATAAAGGGGCTGCTCTGCGCCGCATGTGGGCCAGGAAGATACGAGCGTCATGGGTTTTTTTACACAATGTGAAGTGTAATTTACTGTACCCAACGCAGAGACTGTGCTGTAATAAGGACATGATGGTCTGTGTGACATTTGCTCGATGAAGTCTGAGTGGAGCGCTGGTTTGTGTGCAGTAACTCCACTGATAGGGTTTTGATTAAATTGTTGGGGAAGGTCAAGTGTGTTCACTGCTTTTGTCACTCGTGGCTGTATGTCAATAAGATGATGGGATCTATTTACCCAATATTTTCTGCTTTGAATTATTATTGGATTCTGAGACAAAAGAATAAATCACTAGTGAAAGACTGATGGAAAAACAGCTAACAAGCTACATTTGTGACATTTCATAACTTAAGGGGAAATTCATAAAACTTAGAATATAGTTTTGAAAGTCTATTTACTTCTGTAATCCAACTCACAATGTGAAACTAATGGCGGCTGAATTAAAAAACTAATGGCTTGAATTTCTCCTACGGGGGATCAATAAAGTATCTATCTATCCATCTATCTATCTAATGTATTGTGGTCAGAGCAAATGCGTTCAGTTCTTCACATAATAATGTTTAGCAGTAATAGAGATATAACAGGGGTCCACAATACAAAATATGCAGGTCAGATATCACAGTATGACAGACTCATTACAAAGTGACACATATATTTGTAATAATGTTGGTGGTCGTCTCACAGCTTGCAAAAACCCCAAACAAAATAGCTCAGAACAATTGAATATTTTCATGTTAACAACATAAAAATTATGACAAAAGCTCTTTGCATACAATGATTGTATGAAATATATTGGACAAAATTGGTTCAAAAGTAAATGTATTTCTGTACTTGTGAAACCAACGATTTTGCTGGCGCAATAATTAAGGAAGACTTTCTATCAAACTATTAACACAACAGAACAAATCTTAACTGGAAACTAATGGAACAATTAACATAACATGCACTTGCGGTTATCACCCATTTTAAGGTTGTCAATGCTGTGATTGGATTTGAAATATTTCCAAGAAGAATGTTAAAAGATACCATTGTGAAACTTCAACTAATATTTAATTCAGATGCATCTCAGAACCTTAAAATGTACTTTTCGATTCAATACATCTTGCAGCCCTGGAGCTAAACTATTCCCATTTGTTGCCAAGATCAATATCTGTTCAAATGATCTCGTTTTGATAGCAGTGTTAGCATTGATTAAGATCTTTGTATCGATTGGTTTGCCATTCTGAGAGATAGATAAAGACCGGGCAACCTCAAGCTGGGTGGTTCAGTCCTCACTCTTACAAAGCCGCCATTGTGTCCTTGAGCACACACTTCACAAGCACTGTCTGTGTAATGACGTTAGCGTGACTCCGATCAGAGGTGCTGCACCAGGGTTCAAATTAGCCGCAAACAATGGCTGGAATTTTCTTCTTGTCGGATTTTGTGTTTGTGTGAATTTTCAACAACCTATTTCACAATGTGGTAAATAGGCAGAAAAGTCTTTATAACTAGTGTCCGCAAATACATCTATCCTTCTAAACATACCTAAATCTTAATTCAAGTCTCATCTTATCAAATTAGCCATTCGCAAAAAGTCAATTTTTCTTTGAAAAGAAAAAATATGTTATGTTTGGTTTGCCTAGCGCAGGGGCATCAAACTCATTAAGGTCAGGTTCAAGTTAACTACTATAACAGATTAAATTATATGGTTGTTTTTCCGGGAAACTAAGCTCTAAAAGCCATAGTAGCTCATTAACATCAATGCTGTAAGTTACTATGATTAAAGAAAATTGAAAATCGTTTCAGGGGCTACTAAGAATTATCTTGGTGGCCGGATTTGGCCCACAGGCCAGAGTTTCTCCTGCTATATTTCATATGTCTGATTTCTGAATTGTGTGTGAATGTCGTTTAGATATTTTGTAGCCCTAGTGTGACTAGATATTAGGATTGTGCCAATAATTGAAATATCGCAATCTGCTGCATAACTGTGATTGGCTACTTACTACTACTATTACCACTACTCCCACTCCCACTACTACTACTCCTACAACTACTAAATCAGAAATCTAAATTGGTCAATATGTAAGATAACATAATATAGATGATATAATATTTTTCCAGTGAAAGAACGCAAGGTGTAACAGCATGGCATTCTATAGTAGGACTAAATGCAATTAAGACCTTGTATATGGTTTTCTCATTCAAATAATGCTGTTGGTTTTGTTGCCATTGTCTTGCACTAATGGTCGGGGGAGGAGAGGTGATGCCGCGCTGTGACAGGTGAAAGAGGAGAAGCGTGTCGTTGTGAATAGATCAGACTGAATGGGTGGTGGAGGGTGGAGGGGTGAGGAAGGCAGAGTGTGGACCCTTCCTCCAGGGGTCAAAAACAAGACACTGGGAGGCTGTCAGCACAAAGGGGCGAAGCATCAGTGAAGAACCCGGGTCAGATTGGAGTGCTGCGTTCGGGGCTTGATGCAAATTGGTCTCTGTGATTATGGCACTTGAAAAGCAATTAATTATGTTTTGTTGCATGTATCTCGGGATGTGGCAAAACTCAACTTTTCTCGGTCATTATAAACGTTAAAAGTGTGATTTCTCCTAATCACGAGAAAAGGGATAAAACGGTGAATCTATTCTATTCCGCAGGCGTACAACTATCATCTATCACCAAAAATATATAAACATGGTTTTGATTTTATTGATTGATCTTAATTTTGCTTTGTCTTTGACAGGGCAAAAAAATATGTAAAACGCAAATAGGTCAATTCTCCAAAATGTTTTTATTTTTTTGCCCTTTTTTTTTTTTTAAATGGATCAAGGACGTCCTTCATCCTAAAGATTATAAGCAATGTAAAAGAAAACACGTTTAAGGACTGGAAACCTTTATATATATATTTTTTCTCTTATTTCATAATTTAACAGCAAATTTGTTTTGACATAATTCATTTGTAGTTCCACGATGATTTATGTTGGAGGTGTTGTAGTTGCGATCGCCTTTGACTGTATTTCATGGCGACAGCAGGAGTGGGTGTGGGGAGAGGAAGGGGTTGATCTCTTTGTGGCGTGGGTGTTATTGCTTTGTTTTATAATGTGATATTTTTCCGATACAAAACAACTTGGACACAAAAATAAGCCACAGAAAATGATCTAGATGTTTTAGAATTCAATAAAATAAAAAAACCACAAAAACATTGTGCGTGAGCAAACACTGGGATCTGGGAATAGGTAACAAGAAAAACAACAAAGTGAAGTGAAAGGAAGAGAATAGTCCAATATTGAGAGCCTCCAGGTGAAACTCAAAAAATTATAGTATATATAGTACAGTATAAGTTCATTCATTTACTAACATATGACGGACTCATTACAGAAAAGTGGAATAAATCAAGCTTTTATTTAAGTTATAATGTTGATCATTGGCTCACAGCTGTAAAAACCCCAAAACATAAAACATTTTCAAAAAATAGAATATTTTGAAAATGGACCATAAGCCATAATCATCAACATTATAACAAAACAGTCTTAGCATGTATGTCACGCTGCATGTAATGACAGTTTCACATTGTAGGTTGACATAACTTTAGAACGACATGTGTAAAGCCGAGTGACATATTGTTGCCCAGTGCTTCCTATTCTACCGCGATACAAAAGCGATGCCGGAAAACATTTGAAAATCAATCAATCTCATCTCATCACTCACCTTCTTCAGGTTTTCACTTTCCAATAACTTTCCGCTGGGAGGGCAGATGTCCACCGGTGGCTTCTTAATGCGACTCTCCTCCTCCTCCACCGCCTTCTGCAAACAATGGAAGACGGATACAATGGTTAAACCTGGAGCAAAGACTGTGGCCGCAACCATACATCATATTCACCGTAATGATTTCAAACACAGGGCCATGCATCACTATCATGCCACCACATTTTCTGTCTATGAAACTGTCCCCTTATATTGTCTTATTTTCCCGGCTGTTGGGCTTTCTGGGATTGCCGTAACAAATCATCTGGCTCCATCGAACCCTAGCCTGTGTATCCGCTTTGTCGTAAATCTCTGCTTCGGTCTACCTCTGGACCTTTAGGACCTCACGTTAGCTTACTTCACCCAAATACAATTTCTCAGGGGAAAAAAGGTTTTGATACAGAGTGAAAAAAAGTGACATAAGTACGACATAAATGTACCTTCACAAAACTATGGACTATCTAGGAACTCCTAAAAATGAGAGCGGCACAAGGAAATCTTAATAACCATGCTGTTATTTACATGGCTAAAGCTAACGTGTTTTGACATCTCTCTCTGTTATCAGGAATAACAATAAAAAGAATCAACAGGACCAAAACAACAGTGATGTGGGAACCGGTGTGTATAAAACGTCTGGAGGGTGCACACATTTGGACCTATTCTGAATGGTTTGGAATAGTATTGAGCAAGTTGTTGTACTATTGAAGGAAATTATCATGGTAAAAAAGTCTCCATTGAACCTAGAGTGGCTATGGCGGAAATCGACTGCTGATCGTAAAATCATGAGATCAGAAAAAGAAGCACTTGCTTCATCCATCCCCTTTTTGAACCATTTACTTGTTATTCGTCTGTTATATGTGAACATATGTGTTGTGCAAGTTCGAAAAAATGCATCTACAAGCACTTTACGTTTCGAGGAACCACTGGCCCAACCCATTCAAATCACTTTCATACATACTGTATGCCAACAGTGATGACAAGAGTCATCTACTCAAATCAATTTGAAGTTAAACAAAACATTTATACAAAGTTACAAACGCATATTAACCTTAAATGTATGATTTTGCTGTACTTTTCTAGACTTGTAAAGCAGAGTTTCCAAATGAACAAGATCCCATAAAGCACACAGTAAACATGCCTTGTCTGTTTTGCATGATTAAAGTTTCATACCAATTCTTTCTGTCGTAGATAATAGTGGTAAGAAACATCACAAGACAAAGGGTTTTTAAATTACATGAAATAAGATGGAAAGACGGGTGTCATTCCAAACTGAGATAAATTACTCGACCGTCGTTGTTACGTGTAAGAAGGCTTTGGTAATGCTGTGAAGGCCACTGCATAGGATAATGGCTCTATGAATAAAACAGTGCAAAAGCTGCATTGGAAACAGCATGCTTACTACATAGATCGACTACCAATGCCACACAGTCAATCAGCGTTAAACAGAAGCATATGGATAGAAGTCGGCTAGATTTTCACAGTTGCTCGTCAATTTGGTCACATTTCTTCCAACAAATTTGCCTTCAGTAAAAAGCCCAACAGTTGAGTGATTTGATGCTTATAGGAAACACGTAGTACAAGCAGTTGGCAGTCAAACAAGGAAAGATTCCATTAGGGATTCAAAGTATAGCAGCATGAGTGAGGAGGAGAAAGGCAGGCAAAGGTTATGCATGTAAAAACCATGAATAATTGACTTGCAAGACCCTTTAAAAGACATATATAAACGTTTGTATTAAGGCTGAGTGGATTACAAACACTCATCATCGGCTGGACTCAGGGCGCTGGATTAGGACAAAGTATCGCTCCTTTATTAAATAATTATGGCAAGTGTTTAAAAGGCCAGGAACCATGGGGCTAAATTACAGACAGCTCACGTCAAACTGACTGTCAGAGTGAGGCTTTTAGATGTGGACGTAAATTATGCATGATTTTCAATGGGTCCATTGAAGGATTACAACATATTAAAAATGCAATGTGCAACTGAGCAAGATTTGTTTAACACAAGTAAATGATCCTGTGCTAGTCATACTATTGGCATGTCAACAGTGCAGAGTGCTTCATAGACTGTAAAGGACAATGCTAACTCCCTAGCTCAATGATTCCCAATAGGGAAACGTTCATGAGCAAGGATTTTCTCCATCTTGCTCTAGCTCCTACTCACTTAAAATTAGTTAAGTTGTACTTTATTGTCCCTGTAGGGAAATTTCTCCTCTGCATTTGACCCATCCTTCTTTGCTCCTAGGGCCTTGTCAGGAGCAGTGCCCGGGGCCCACCTCCAGATGTTGTTGCTCAGTTTGGTCAGGATTATCAGAGCTGGAGGTTTTTTACTATTGTACATGTTTTTAGGGGTAGGGAGACAGGAGCACCCAGATGAAACCTAAGCAGACACAGGGAGAACATGATTTACAAGGGATCAGTGCAGATTTACATCTAAAAGTGAACTCCTCTAGCTCATTTACTGATTGCGCCACCATTTTGGGCCTAAAAAATAAGAATGTATTTTGGGCTTAAAAAAATCTGTGGTTTAGTGCTCTCTATGATCCTGGTATTTATCATATTTTGAAATTGTCTTTGTAAATCTAGATACGAGCCATATAAGGATTGATCGATCAGATGTCTTAATTCTCAGGGGAAACTTGCCTTAGCAACACGTCTGTCCCTGTCACGGCGTTAACACCATCAATTCAAATGTTTTCTACTGCTTTCAACAGTTTCAAATGCATTCCTTCAAGTCACTTTGAGCATGAGGAAAAACAGTTAAACTATCCAAACTTAAACAATAGCCAGTCTGAAAACTATTCACTCTCATTCATCCAGTATGACCAATTGAGAGGCACCATTTCACCTATATTCACGCCTTAAGATAGCAGCTAATCCCATCCTAAGCAGTGCCGCTATTATAACTACTAGTTGGTTTCTACTAACTCCATTGTTTTGGCATTTCCGCCCCCAAGACATAATTGAAGTTTTAAACCTGACTGACGTGACCTGGGTGAGTTCGAATCTTCCATCTCCACATAATGACAAACCTTCTCATAATCTCATGGCATGGATGCCAGTGGTAACACCTATTCAAGCCCGGATGCAAGTTGACAATAACAAATAAATGAGAAAAGCCCTTTGCTGCGAGTGTTGCTGATCCGACAGGCGCGTATTGATGTGTAAATAGGCTACAGGGTCGTATTTACAATGCCATGGGTGTCCAAAGCTTGTGCATGCAAATGTGAGGGGCTGCAGCCATATGTCTAACCAGGTGTGTCTGTGCCAGAGTCTGTCAGTTTACAAGAGCTTTCTTCTTTAAACGGCAGCACTGCAGCACGGAGCGAGAGGACTAGGAGGGGGGATAAAGAGAAAAACAACAATAAAAGCACTGCAGTGGACTGGAGGCCACTGCTGCTGGATTTGGGCCAATTTTAAAACTGGCCATGGGAGCTGAGATTGAAGGGCTGGTTCCAAATCAAGTTTTCCTCAAGAGTCTCTTATCAACACTCAGTTTACAGGAACGATGTGACAGATTAGAATGCACAGATGAAAGAGATCGTAAAAGCAAAGATGGATGGATACGGAAATCTCACTTTGTAGTAAGACATCACACAGTTCTGTATGGGAAGCCAGTGGTTCATTTGTAAACTTATGATTTCAGTATAGCGTTTCTTGATATTGGCATTTGTGACTGCATACATTTTCAGCTGGCACAGTAGAACAAATATCATTAGTTCATTGGTATGGACTGAAAGAAATTGTTTGGAACAGGGGTGAGAAATAATGATGGTGTGGCACTGGCAACAGAAATGTATTGATGCATGTATGCAATCTATTTACAGTATGTATGTATTTGGCTTCTGTGTTATCCACAGAAGACTTTGAAATACGTTTTAATATATACTCAATACAACTCAACAACTATAATCACAATTTTAAACAAGGTCATCAAAATTACTCTGAAGAGATGTACCAATATTATAGTCACTGCAGATTAGAATAGTGTCTTGGCGTGTTGAAATTGTACTAGAGCAGATGGTACCACTGCATTTTTGATTACACAATGATTTATGAGAGCAGAGATTGAAATATGTGGAAAGGGAAGTTTGGATACCACAATTTTTTATTTCATTTATCATCATTTCATTTAGTTCCCTCCTCTGCACCGGTTACAACATCCACCACGTGCTTCATGTCACCGCTGCGGGTCGACCCTGTTTCCTAAAACTGTGGGTCTATGATTTGAGCTGAAACAAAAGCAGAGGTCAAACTGACATTATGTCCAGGTCGATCTGCCCCCTTTTCATGTGTTTGACCCCGGCCACTGCAGCAGATGCTCTCAGCCTGACGAGACAGCTGACAGCTCATTAAAAGCTCCAGTGTTAACCCTATATATGTGTGCGTGGTGTGTGTGCGCATATGGTCCATTCTGTTTAATAGTAGCCTTGGTCCCTGCTCACTGTAATTCCAGTTTACCTGACAGTTGACAAGCTTAACACCCACCGCCCACACCACAACTCATTATCGGTCCTGCTCGGTGCTAACGAATGCAGGCGCGGGATGGACCGATGCAACACAACTGTCTCCGAAACCACTGATGCCATTCAGTCACAGTATTCATAGAGCGCTGCTTCTAATCGGCAGTAACTAAAGCACATCTCGTATATATACATGGCAGGCTCAATAGTTGATTCAAGGGCTGGGTTTTTGGTAGACTTAAACAATGCCCATTAGTGAATTTGTTTTAATAGAAAATCAAACAAAAAATCACTATGCTAAGTGCTATATAAATAACTTGCCCTGCCTTGCTGCTACTAAATACATTTTGAATAAAGTATTGTGAATGGAAATATTAATTAGACTTTGGATAATTTTCCTCCGTTGCTTCTGATAATTGTGGATTTCCCAGAGAAATCCTTGTAAATTTGTTACGTCAGCACATTTTAAGAAATAATTAAGGCCTTCTACCAATTTAAAAGATAAGAGAGTTCTGATTGTCTGCTCTGGTCTCATGTGGTCTTACGGAAGTAGAACCACTGCGCCCCAAGACCGGGAGAACCAGAGCTGGCCAGAACGCG